TTTTTTTTTTTTTTTTTGTTCTGTCGACTTTCTTCCCTATTCTGTGTCATCTTCGTGAAGCAAGATTGATTGTGCTGTGTTTTCCGCGAGGATATCTTTGAGATCACTTTCCAGCTGGTCCGTGGTGAATGTAGAGCTACTGTATTCGCGCGAAAAGAAGTAGTGGTATAATATTGCGAATACATTTCAGGCCAAATTACAAGAAACAGATATTTCCAACCCTAAAAATTGATGTAATAAAAGTTCTTTGAGCATTTCTCTCACCAATTTACCATCCATTTAGGTAATTTAAAATTTTACCTCCAGCATAAAGGGACTTCCTTCTCTCTTTTTCACTTGAATGTTATTTTTACAGAGAATGCCAACATTTATATGTACTGTACAGAGGTATCAGTATTCAATTCCCCAAACATCCATACTGTGTTGAAGTATATTGATTGAATCAGTTTCAATTGGGAGACCATTTTTATTTTCATGGAATTATGGTGAGTATTTTGTCCATAAAACACCAATCAAAATATATATATATTGTAAGTCTAAGGGAAAATGAGACTCGACTTGGGGACATTTCGACTTAGGGACACTCCTGATGCACCAATTACGTCCGCACCTCGGGGTCTCACTACATTATTAATAACGTACCTGATTTCTTTTGCAGGCGTGTTCGAGTGAGGTGATGATGTTGCGAACGGCTCGACGGTACGACATCCACACGGACTCCATCGTGTTCGCCAACAACCAGCCGTACACGAGAGATCAGTACGCGTCCTCTGGCTTGTCTGGAGTGCCTGACACCCTGTTTCCATTTTGCCGGTACCTGTGTCTAATGAAGGTGGACAATGCCGAATACGCCCTGCTTACCGCTATCGTCGTTTTTTCCGGTAAATAATTTGTGTCTCCCGACTAAGATTTTTTTTTTTTTTGGTGGATTTCTTATGCTGAAGGTGTGTTTTTTTAAATTAAACTTTAGTGAATCGCGCGGAGCTTTGAACGCATTTGGTTTTTCGACAGTGGGTGGGTTCCTGAGTCGCTTGCTGAATGTAATATTGAACTTCCCAAAGCCAAACACTTTTGTAATCCGGATTTCTGGTTCATCCCTTGCCGATGCTCTCTAATGCAATTTAAACCTTCGTGTCTCGAACATTTCTGAGAAAACCTTTTTTTTTTTTTTTACAAAACTTGTAAAGCCTTGCTGTTATTAAATTTGGGCTAAATCATTGTTCCAAGCAACAGAACAGAATATCGAATGCAGATTATTTCATGTATGCTCTCCACGAGGGATTAGGTGTAATCCTGTTAGCAGTACGTATAAAAATAATGAACAGCTTCAACAATTTGTCTAGAGAATACTTTTCATGAACTAACATAACCATTAAAGTCAACTTCTTTCTTTCTAAAGCTGTGTAACTCGATAATTTTGGAGTCCCTGTAACTTTGATTTATTATTTGAGGAGAATATGCGAAAGACTGTATCTTTTGTAAGATATTTTGTAATTTTTTCCCGTTTAGACTATTGTTTTGATGGATAATGAATTGTTAGCAGTTAAAAATCAAATGAAAATGGAGACATTTTAGTGCAACATCTCTTTTTGAACGTGATGACATCTAAAAGATTGGTAATACAGTAGTTTCATATCTTTTTATTTGGTTTTGAATGAGTCGAAGCGCTTGTTTTACCTTAATATGTTCTGATTTATTTTCGCTGTTATGTGCCAGTACTGTACTAATTTTAAGAAACCCGGAAGGTTAGGTTTACGCCCACCCGCTAATTGCGGTAAATTTACTTCCCTGTTCGTAATGACTAAACTGAAAGGAACAAAAAGATCTTTGTCGAAAAGTGGCTGAAGTCATTTAATCAAGTTCCACCGAAGGTGTGGGTTTAATCAAGTCCCGCTAAGAGTTTGGCTTTTTTATAGTCAATTTCCTGACGAAGCTGTAAAAGGCTTTGAGTTTTACCCATGTTTTTATGCTTTTGCTTGATGAATGAAAACAAATAACGTTTACGAAGTGATGTTGAAAAATGTCCTGCATTTCTGTCCACTGCTCGAATTTCAGATAATTGATATTGAAATGGAGAAAGTACAAAAGTTTGGAGGGGAAACGGTTTAAATATTACACACCTGCATTCTTCGCAAATTTCCTCTGTTCAAATTCTACCAAGGACAGTATTTCAAATAAATTAGTTTTTTAAATTACACGTTCCGCATATTTTGAATTTGGCAATTTCTGCGTGATGCTGAACGAAAATATTCTTATTAGAAAATCATTGTGCGAGCGAGCATTTGTCCAGATCACGGCTTGAAACGAAAGAAAATTTCCTGAGGATAAGATGAAAAGAGGCTTGCTTTAAATCGTGCAACAGATCCACTATTGGTTTATGCGATTCCGGTGACTCGGAAACTTCGGCATTGGAAGGGGGTAATTTTTCCAAGCATGATTTTCGAATGAAATCGCGGAAAGGCGTTTTCGGCGTCTTCGGAATCACGTTGTGAATACTTCGAGATGACAGTATTTTTTTCTTGAATAAACATAAGATTTTTTTTTGTTGCATTGCAGAACGGCCGAACCTGATCGACGCCAAGAAGGTGGAGAAAATCCAAGACATTTACATCAATGCTCTCCGATCGTACGAGGAAAGCAAGCGATCGAAGCCTGCGCTGAGTTTCGCCAAGCTGCTCGCCGTCTTGCCGCAGCTCCGCACACTGGGCAACATCAACTCCGAGATCTGCTTCTCGCTCAAGATCCAGAACAAGAAGATTCCACCGTTCCTGGCCGAAATCTGGGACGTGTGAGGTGTGTGTTCGGCCTCTTATTCCACCCACCTTTTGAAAAGAACCACTGCCCGTTTGTAACGGAAGAAAACTACTTTCTTTCAAGAGGATGCATTGATTCGCCATTGATTCGACGACACTTCGAAGAATGTTTTGTTTCGTTTGCTCGTTCCTCGATGTGGGGGAGGGAGGGAGGGGAAAAAGATAACTGTTATGTTTCTTTCTTCTTTTTTTTTTTTTTTTTTAAATGCGGCGGGGTCGGCTGTGAGAAGGTGGCGATTGACTTGACTGACTTGATTGTAAAAAAAAAATTCAAGCCCCGGCTTGTCGACAATTTGGTTTCGAAGCAAGAACCGGACCTGCTCACTTGTCGGTTCAGCTCTGCTGATGCGAAGAGATTCGTCAGTGTGTGAAAGCTCAGGTATATCGGGAAGTGGGGTTTTTTTTTTCCGCTGGAAGTTTGAGAGATCCGAAGTGTCGTCGATCGGGGTGCGCCTTGCTGACGGTTTTTTTTTTTTTTGAGATTGGAAAGATGAAGGGTTTTTTTTTTGTGGACTTCAAAACCCCAAGACGNTTTTTTTTTTTTTTTTGAGATTGGAAAGATGAAGTGTTTTTTTTTTGTGGACTTCAAAACCCCAAGACGCGATGTCTTCCAGGTTGTAGAGCGTCAGGGATGTGGAACTGCGTGCGTTTCTGCGATCTCCCCCTTTCACCCCTCAATCTGCGCGTCAACGAATATAGACACGATTTATTTTGAACTTCTTCTCAGCTTGGAGTGATTGCAGCGATTGAGCACTAATTTTGTGACGAGCGAGGGGCAACACGCAGGACTGTGATGGAACTTACCTTGTTTCCTACCCCCCCCCCCCCTGTTTCATTTGTTTGTTTTTGTAGCGTCCGCTGTTCTTGTTGTGTCGAAAATTCCCCCGTTGGACAAAAGAAAGAAAAAAAATAACCGAATGGTGCTCGTCTTCTTCTGTTTTTTCCCAGGGTTAAGTTATTGGTGGGGTTGCCAAAAAAAAAGAAAAGAAAGAAAAAGAAGCGAAGTTTATAGAGCGAAGGAAGACGGATTTTAATCACAGAGGGAGTAACTGTGTACCAAAAACAGATAGCTGAGGAAATTGAGCTAGCTGACTGCTATTTTAGATTCACGACGCGTTTCATTTTTTCCCTCCTCCCCCACCACCTCCCCCGAGCTGTGATATTTCGTAACTCACTTTTTTCTTGTCATTCTGCGGCTTGTTCTCGGGACAGTAGGGTTCAGTTCTTGTAGGCGCGTGTTTGTTGAAGGAAATTTGAAACGCTCTAAAGAAAAAAAAGAGGACGATGGAACACAAAATCGCACTGCCGCGGGGCGCCGACGAAAGGAGATGATGAGATTCGAACGCTGCGCGAAAAGAACTCAAAAAAAGGGAAAGAAAAAACACTTTTTTCCGCCACTGCCCGAATTTTGGACGAGGTTTTTTGTCACTCTTTGTAACTTGCGAGTACGTGTCGTCGTGTGTGTTTTCATCCGTGACGCTCAACTTGCTTGAAAAAAAACTTCCGATCGATCGGCCTTCTTTTACTTCCGCTAGGGAAAGGAGGAAAAATCTTGAGCGAGTGTGCGATGTTTTTTTTCTCTCAAGAAAACAAGAACGTTCCGTCCAAAGAACGAGTGTTTGATGCATTTTTTTTTTTTGGTTGCCCGACGTCTCGTTTCTCCGAGCCCCACGTTTTGTTTTTGGTTTTATTTTATTTCCTGCTGTGATTCCGTTGTTCTAGAGATAACCTGGATCTGACGCAGTCAGGTCATTGTACACGTGCGCAGGGAAAGATTGGTTTTTATTTTTAAGTTGTAAATATCCCTTTTTCCTGGGCTCAGCGGTGAGGTTGATTTCCATTTTATATATTTTTTGAGTTTGTGCCTTTCTACATTTTTTCTGGTTTCGTTTTCGCGTTGTGTTTTTAGGATACGGATTGGCATTCGATTACGGGGAGTACGTCTTGCCTCCTGTAATGCCTGTTCCTTTTATTTTATTTTATTTTTTGTTTAATGGCTGCGTAGGGCATTAATTGCATCTTCCTGGTTTTATCTCTTTTTTCCATTTTCGAAGCCTTTCACTTTTTACCGTTGTTGAAAACCGGTGCCGTCGCTAGTTGTGGGAAAGAAGAAAACTTCGAGGAGGCGGATGTTGAGACCGGGATGAAGGAAAATGGAAAGAATCGGGTACGTGTAACTGCGATTTGAAAGTTTTAGGGAAGTTGAAGAAAGTTATGGACGTTTCTGTGAGTTGACAAAATGCCGTCTGCGCGATTCTTGCCGCATCCGAAATTTCTGAAGCCGAGGTAAATTTTTCATACGCTCCTTGTCGGCGTGTTTTTTTTTTTTTTTTTTTTTCTCCGAAATTTCTTTGATCGTCGAGGAGAATGTGCGCAAGAGTGTTAATGCTGTCCTCTCTGTATCCTTTTACTTTTTTTTTCGGATGGCCGAGACGTGGATTTATGTTTTTTTAGTGAAATTATTATCTCGCGATTTTTGTTCGCCTTTTTTCCTTGGCAACGGTGGATCATGGGAGAAAATTGAGAAGAGAGAGATTTGACGGAAGGGAAACAAGAACATTGGATGAAGTTGAACGCTATCGTCGTCTTTCATTTCCTACAGGATGAAAATTTCTTCTGGGATGCATGATTGTTCTGGATTCCTTCATTATAGGAATAGGATATTTCCATAGTCAATAATGCGTCCATGATTTGCATTCAGCGTGAGTAATTCGAAAAAAAACACGTTTAATTTACGATTTTATTTTTCATCGCTTAAAATATTTCTGAAAGTAACGCGAAACATCTCCGCTCGGGCAGTTTGCCGAATGAAGGGTTATCACCAGATTTGGCACAGATTTTCGCCATTGAACATGTCGTCCTCAGGTGTGCAGCCGAAAGCTTCAGCGAACGGTTCGCTGTTGGAACACGAACCCCAGACTCGGTATTTTCCCGGGCTGTGTTCGTCGTTGAGAACAATATTTAGGAGACCGGCCTGAGTGTAGTGACCACACCACAGCTGCAAAGAAAATTCGAAATAGATGAGTTGACGAAATATATATCGAGGAAATGCGAGAAAATCCATGCAGTGTAAGAAAGAAAAATTGATTAAATATTGAGGGAAGTTCGAAGAGCGGCTACAGCGTTGGTGAGATCGTCGTAGAAAATTTTGAAAATAGCCAAGTTGCTCTTTTAAAAAAATGCTCAATTTTTTTTCAACCACCATATTTACTATGGCACCATGCGCTCAATTTTTTTTTCCTGGAAATCTGGACCAAAGTAAGGGTTTGGCCTATTACATCACTTGGTCGTAAAATTGTTCCATAAATTTTGAAATTTTGTGCGTGTAATGGAGGTGGGCTCTCCTTGCAGCACAGTTCAAGGGACTAGAAATGAATTCGTTGCTGAGAGAATTTTGCTGTAGAGAACCCCTAGAATATGGAAAGTGAAGCCTGTTGTGCTAAGAAACATTTTTGCACAGAGAAAATCGTGGTGGAGAAAGTCCACCTGAACTTGAATCATAGGATCAATCAAGAATTTATGAAAAAGCTACGAGTATTTTACACTCATAAATTCAGCCACAAAATTTAATTCCTCTCTATTGGGCTCTGTTTAATCTTCTCAATTTTTTTTAAATCCAAAATTCAAATTTGTGAGATATTGTGGATTTTAATATTGACTTCATTGATCAGGTAAAACTCGGGTACGTATTCCTTATACAGGGATACGTTTTTTCCAAAATTTTCATCTGTAAAATTAAGGTGTACCTATTACTTGAAGTACTTGATGGAAAATAGATTTGGCCATTTTCTGACCGTGCCAACCTATTTTAACTTTTAAAAAAACCTTACGACAATCCTAAGTTTATTGAACATAGAAAAAATCTAATTTTAACTTCCCCACGTAAGTATTACAGGTATTTCAATGATGATGGGCAAATGAATACAGTATAGAATTGTCCGAGGCAGCTTTAATGTGGGAGAATTATTTCCATGCTGCCCGATTGCTGGGTTTCCAATGTGGTGTTAGGCTTAGTTACTCATACGAATACTCTACGACGAAGTCTATGGTATACTATTTGTGTGTGTACACTACAGTACATACGGTACACTATACAGAGAAACGTGGCAACGTTTTCTCTCGAGCTCTCAACACACTGTTGCTCAAATCGAATTCGTCAATTCGCTCCAATTGAAAGGAAAGGCGACTCTTACGTTGCCGAAGTTGATGAAGAAGAGCTGTTCGGGTGTGAACTGCTGGAGCCCGGGCAACACGGGTTCAGCTCCGTTCGCCTCTTTGTACCTCAGATACGCGTTCCAGGCCTGTCGCATGCCTCCGTTATCTGCGAGGTTTTCTCCCAGGGTCTGGAGTCCGTCGAGATGCGCTTCCGGAATGACCGAGTCCAGTTCCGGTACTAGGTAATTCGTGTACTGGTTGATGAAGCACTGCGCCTTTTCGACGAAAGCGTCGCCCGTCGCTGGCGTCCACCAGTTGATGAGGTTGCCCAACTCGTCAAACTGGCGCCCGTTGTTGTCGAATCTACACGTGCCCCCGAGGCAGGTAAAAAAAATTAATTAATTAATAAAACGAATTCATCAAGTGACCCAGAGAAATCATTGATTCATAAAACGAATGCCTATACCTATACTGAGACCATCTCGGGTTCACAAAATCGTTTGCTCTTAATTTACTAGTTGAAAATTTTATTTAAATTCCGCTCTGACTGAGGAAAAAAAAAATTTGCTGGCGAATCTAATACAGTAGGTGGACTCTCTTTACGACGGAACGCAAGGGACCCGAAAAAAAATCGTTGTAAAGAAAATTTCGTTGCAGATTGAATTTTCGCGTACCCGTGAGTCATTTCGTGCCCAATGACGACTCCAATGCCTCCATAGTTGAGTGACTGAAGGCTGTTGGACTGGAAGAAAGGCGGCTGAAGGATCCCAGCGGGGAACGTGATGCTGTTCATGGACGGATAGAAGAAGGCGTTCACGATCGAAGGCTGAGTGATCCACAAGTCCCTGTTGGTGGGCACATGCAGTGTCTTTGCCATGTCATTCCAGGACCAGGAGTCGTAGCTGTAAATGTTTTGGAACAACGCTGCTGGAACAGCTGTGAGCTGAAACAAAGCTGAGTGATCCACAAGTCCCTGTTGGTGGGCACATGCAGTGTCTTTGCCATGTCATTCCAGGACCAGGAGTCGTAGCTGTAAATGTTTTGGAACAACGCTGCTGGAACAGCTGTGAGCTGAAACAACAATTTAAAAAAAAAAGTCTTCAGTGAGACACCGAGATGAGGACATGATTGGTGCATCAAGAGTGTCCTGATGTTGGAATGTACCAAAGTCGATTAGTCTCATTTTCCCTTAGACTTGAATGCTAGTGTATTTGATTGGTTCTCCTTTTTTTTAATAAAAAATTGAAAATAAGCCCTCAAAAATGTAGTAAAAATGTTTTTCCTCCACTTCAAGTTGTGGAAAACAGCAGTGCAGAACAAACCACATTGAATCTGATCTTTTGGTATCAAAAGGAGATCAAAAAGCAAGTAAAATAAATAAGTCTTGCTGGAATATGCACAGATGATAGAAAAAAAACTCTGCAAAAAAGAAGCAACAGATCAGCTTGCTTTTGATTGTGAATTAGAGTGAAATTATCATGAAATATGTTTTCCAATTTTTGTGAAAATAGAAAGCTTGATTTGTTCAAAATATGTATAGAAATTAAAAAATAAAATGGTTTCGATTTATTGGAAAATTTTTAGAGAAGTGCCCCTTACTTGAGCCAATGTTTGGATGTCGGGCCTGATTTTTTTTTTTTTCAAGTGTCCCTAAGTCCAATTGTCCATATGTTTGGGTGTCCGCATATCGGGGTCTCACACTGTGCTTAATTTATTTTAAAAATCGAAAGTTCTCTTGGGCCTGTTTATATTTTTAATCGCGAGAGCTGATGTGATGCGTTAATTTCAGCGTGAAAGTCGCACTTTTTTTCCGCCTGTATCTCAAGAGCATTATAAAAATATGTTTTGCACGTTTTGTTTCAAAGATCCTGCAGATAAATGGTACTTTGTTTTTATAAAGCATTTGAAACACGTAACAAATAATTTACACAACCCTAAGGGGAATTTCAGCATGCGAGACAGGCTTGAAAAATAATAAGTGGCCTGAATTTTTTCCATCCTGCGGATTGTACCAATATTTATTGCATCTCCGTTTCGAAAATGCCACATGGATATAACCTCCAGAAGATTTTCTTCGAGTTATTCTAATCTATCATATCGGTTTCAGATATTATACCGCAATATATTGTAATCATTAGCGTTCAAAATCCAGGCTACCAGGCAGTTGTAACGTGATTTCAAAAAAATGTCATCTGCCATATTCGAAGCGTTCAGTTGTAATGGTTTTCCTGCTTTTTTTCAGGAGATTCTATGAGGAATATCCGTTCAATTTTATTTCTTCTGGGATATTTCACTTGAAATGTGTCGAATTATGTAGCAGTAAAATCTTACGCCGTCGTAGAAAGCATCGACTGCAGCATCGTCCAAGATCCAGTCGGGATAAGCGACGAACTCTCTCATAGCTTCAAGCTTGGTCTTGGCCCTTTCCTTGGTGGACGCATCCATCCAAGTCAAGTTGTCGATGATTTCGTCAAAAGCCACTCGGAGATTCGCGATCAGCTCCAACATCTGCAAAAAAAAAAATTATATTTGCACAATTGATGTAAACTGTTGGGCAAACAAGAAACAAGAACGGGTCCAAGGAGGAAACCTGTGAAGGGTTTTTCTCTTGCATGAAGTAGTTCAGCATTATTCACACACAAATTATTTTCGGTGAATTATTATTATCATCCTATTATCTTCTTAATCCAATTCGTGCACAAATTTGGTATTGTGATTTCTTGCATTTAATTCCTGACTTTTTTGTGATTTAAAAAATGGATAAAATGAGGTTCAAAAATAGGAGAACATATTCAAGGAAACATATTCTCCTTTATTATATTTATAAACATATTTCTTGATTATGTGTTCTTGGCCTAAAAGGCTGATTGCCCTGCCTTATCATTTCTCCACTGCGTTATGACTCAATCTTTATGTTGAGTTGATTAATTTCCTCAACATAAACAATTGAATTTTAGAAGACAATTTTATGTATTGGAAATTTTTATTTTCATCATTTTTTTCTATGGGTTTGTTTTTTTTTTTTGTTGAAAAAAAGTCCTCAAAGATTTATCTTGAGTTTTGGCGGACTCGTTTATTTTAATTTTAGTACCACTTCTTGATAACTGGAATCGAAAAACAATGGTTGCTGAAGTATCACCAATACAGCCTTCACGACGAATTTTTAAAAGTCAAATATCAATAGTTTTCAAAAATTTATTGACATATTTCGTCGACTGAGGCCTTCACAGCTTCGAAGCAAATAATGTTTGCATGCGGACTTCAAAAATGAATCGTGAGAAGTAGTGGTATTACTTTCCTTGGGTCAATCCAAATTGGAAAGTCAAAGTACTGTACTGTACAGTATGTTCTTGAATTTATGGTACAAAGCTTGAATAATATATTTCAGACAAGGTAAATACAGTACTGTATCATCAACCTGATTTACGAGTAATCGAAGAAATGGCGACGCAAAGGGTCAGATTTTAAGATGTACTTCAAATATATTGTGCAGTATTTTTGTAATTTTAAAAATGGTCAGCTTCAAAGAAAATTGAGCGTATGTATATGAGGGCTTTTCGAATCAAACTATGAAAAGTTGTTATAATAGTTTACATAAACAGGGATTCTCTCTCTCTCTCTCTCTCGACAACGATCTTGCCTACAACGATTTTCTCTGTAGAACAAATTTTGTTCTGGCCCCTTATAGGGGTTCGCTCCCCATGTTATATGGGTTCTCTACACTCTACAACGAAATTTTCGTCACAGCTATTTTCATTTTGGTCCCTCCACGTGTACTGTATATATTTTTTTTAGGTCGTATAATTGCAGTACAGTACCTCTTCCTTGGCGGCCGGTGGGAAGTACTGAGACACGTACGGACCGCTGACGGCGAACCCCAAGACATTGTTGACGAGGTTTGAGCAGGTCAACCACCTTTTCAATAAGACATGCCGAGAAATCAGTTTCCCCCTCATTTTTTATTTTTTGGTTAGTTGAAAAATAGTTCAGTACCAGCAGAGTACTCATTGTGTGCAGTGAAGCCGGTATATAATATACATTAATAAATAAAAAATGTGCTCATCAAATTCTTGCAGACTGTCTCCATTACTGGGTTCAGTAACTGCTGCAATTGCTATAATTCTGGCTTATGCTGCAATTCTTGTTACTGATATTTTGTTTTCAATGTCCGGGAATTAAAGAAGGGGGTGTACGCATACACATCAGTTGTATGTGGGAATGTTGATTGAACCTTGTGAATGCTGAAAAGCGGTAAATAAAGCTTTCTATTCATTCATTCATTCATTCATTCATTCTCCATTATATTCCTGATGGCTGCATAATAAAGTACAGTGAGATCCCAAGATGAAAAGGTGCATCAAGAGTGTCCCTAAGTCCAGTCTTGTTTTCCCATAGACTTACATTATATAATTTTTAATTGGTGTTTTATGTGAGAAATATTCTTCAGAATTCACTGAAAAAAATTGTTTGCCACCTTAATTTGAATTAGTGAATACATTTTCAACTCAATAAGAACATTTGGAGCATTGAATAGCGTATCTCTGTACTGTACATTGAAATGTTGTCATATAAAAAAAATGACATTCAAGTGAAAAAAGTAGATGTCCCTCTATGCTGGAGGTTATNATTTGGAGCATTGAATAGCGTATCTCTGTACTGTACATTGAAATGTTGTCATATAAAAAAATGACATTCAAGTGAAAAAAGTAGATGTCCCTCTATGCTGGAGGTTATTTTTTAAAATTAGCTTAATGAATGATAAATTTGTGAGAGATATGTCCAAGAACTTTTCTTACATCAATTTCAGGGTTGGAAATATCTGTTTCTTGTAACTTGGCCTGAAATGTATTTGCAATTTTATCACGAAATGGTCCCTATATCAAGCCAGTGTCCTCATGTTGGGCCTTTTTTTATTAATTCTCTTTGGGAAAATAAGTGTCTTTATGTCGAATTGTCTACAGGTTCAGGTGTCCGCATGTGGGGGTCTCGCTGTATTATAGCGTACCTTTCTTGAGGCTCCGTGATCCCGGCCACGACTTGGTCGAACTGGAAGAACAAGTCTCGCATGGCCTGCGACGTCAGTTCCGCGTGTCCGTACACATACCGCCAGGACAAGTAATTCGCTGCGCGGAATTTGTTTTCATTATAACAACCACTCATTCTCTTTTTTTTTTACTTTGAATTATTGTCAGAAGAATCTATGCACACTATTTTCTTTTTTCTTTTTTTTCTTCTCATCTCACCGACTGTGCGTGAAGAAATTGCTCCTCCGGCGAACGTGTTGAAGAACTTTTCGATGTATTCCGGCGCCTGGACGACGAGGCTTTCGTCGGCTGCGATTTCAACGTTGACAGTGGCGAACAAGGCGTCGAAGATGGTTTTCCAGTCCTGGATCAGATGGTGAGAACTCAGGGTTTACAATCCTAACTTGAATCAACATATCTTTGGTGCATTAGCCTTGAAACAGAGAGAATAGATGCATAGCAGGTATTCAGATGTGTCTTGAAATTTCTCTGTTTATCTGTTTATTTTCCTTTTGATTCGAAGAACGAATATAATTTGCTACGCTTGATACGTTGAATAATTATGGAGTCCGCAGCCGACGATGATTTGATTTCCGTCGAGTTTTTTTTTCTTCTGCGTGACACGTGATGAGTAGTTTTTTTTCCTTCAAAATATTCGAGTCAATTTCCATAATGATTGAAAGATATCTACAACTTTTATTCATTGTCAAAAAATTAAACTTTTCACCTTCTTTAGCCAGTTAAGTTCGGGTGGCTCTTGCAATTTTTTAGCCAAGGTCTGAAAGGGATAAATTATTCAACAAGACTCTTACCTTGAAAGGCGTTTTTACGCTTTTAAATTTAAAAAAGAATAAGTTCAATGTAGTTGCTGATGAACTTCTCTTGGACGAAATTTCTGTTCATGGCCCCGGAACTTTTACAAATTTTATTCCTAGTCACGTTTGAGCACAATTGCTTTATTGGACGGACAGCTCAACAATATTTTTAAAATCCTTATCCAACAATTTTGGAGTAACAATAATTTGTTTAAAACCCTCAGACGCTTTAAAATGGTGAACACACATAATTAAAAATGGGAAAGTAGAAAACCCAAAACGTAATATAACCCGCACAGAATGCGTTCAATTTTATACAATTATGTTTTGGTTTGAAGAAAATAAATATTCGAGTCAATTTCCATTATTATTGAAAGATATCTATAATTTTACATTTACATTTTACATTTCGGGTTTTACAAATGACGAAGTAGTGGGTGTTGATACTGCTGAATCCATGCACTTATCGAGGAATTTTTTTTTGCTCCACGCATTATATAGCAAGCAATATGATGGGCAACGAAAAGAGGGGAGAATAGAACAGAATTGGAATGAGTCTATTCGGGATTTGAAAAATCTTTAACGGATGTTGGAAACGTATGAAAATCACGTAGAGATCAGCCAAATCAGCTGTAAAAGTACTATAGTAAATTCATCGAAAAAATACAGTATTGCATTCGTTTATTGACTGGCAAATACTTAGAAAAAATATCCTTTGTATTGATTGATTTTCGGCGTGACAACTCACCAGCTGCGTGTTGCCGCTGATTGCCTGCAACTCCGGAATGGTCATTTTGTTGTAAAGGGCAGTATAGTTCTGTCTGTCTTCATCTGGAGTGAGTATCTGTGGATGAGATACATGAGAAATATAATTCGAGTACAGTACTGTATATTACTGTACAAAGATTTCACGAAACCCCCTTCGATTCTTCAAAGTTCGAAGCTCCGCGGGACATTTTGAATTGTCTATCAACCATCACCTGAACCATTACCTGATTAGCGGATCAAGTTAAAGCTAACTAGAACAAGCGACATCTGTGTTACAGCGCAAGAAAAATTGCGATGGGAATTTCCGCGTCAAAGTGAGGAGGAGACTATCAATTTCAGGATTAGCTCCCTCCAGTGAAAGCCCTGACTATGGATTGATGACAGAAGTAAAACTCGCTTATTGCAGTCTAGTACATAATTGAACAATATTTAAGGATTTTCCCTAAAAATAAAATGCATTCCGTATCGTTAAAAGTTGAGTTCTCTGCCACTATGAATAACTAATGAGAGACAAAGCAAACCTCGGCGAGCGTGGTTTCGAAAGCGATGACGTCATTGACATCTGCTTCGATTTGGGCGTCCGTCACACCGCTGCTAGTGGCGTCTCTGACCACTTTCGCAGTGCCGGTCAATAGGGCTTTGTATGCATCCAAAATGACAGACAATTCGGGCACCAAGAAGAAATCCCTCGGGAGACCGAGGCTTCCTTGGTCCATCTGTGGGTGAAGAGAAACAAAATTTTCAAAATACCCCGAATGTCAAAAAGCAATTGTATTTAATTTGCTTTCTTTAATGCCGATTTTATTTCTGTATGGGGATGGATTCTGGGATGTACATTTATAACTTATTAATTCCCCTTCAAATGCCTCTGAATGAGTCATGTCCACTGCTCCAACGAGGCAAGCATTAAAAAAAAATTGAGTCTGCGTTCTACAGCATTAATGAATGACTCGAAAGGATCCGCGGAGATCCACAAAAAATGGCTCCGAATAAAATGAAATAAAAATTGTAAATTTTCAACTAAACGTACGTAAATGATTGTCTGGTCGGTGTTGAAATCGTCTGGCAGAACGTAGATTGTTGCCAGAGACTGAGTGCCTCCCTTTGTGAGCAAGTTGGTGAAGACAGTCACTGGGTTGAAGACGGTCTCATCCCAAGTGCTTTGCGTCATTGGCCAACCCGTGTAATCACTGTTGAGTTCATCGAGGAGTGGCTGGACTCCGAGGGATTCCGCAGTTCCTGTTATTAATACAAATAAAAAATAAATGAGAGGTCTTCTCTATAAGAGAACCTGTTAATCGAGAAGAGATCGGTATTGTATGTAGGAATACGAAATACGGTTGTCCATTTTTACGAGGATTTTTTCTCAAAAGTCCTGTAATGATGATGATGTCACGAACAGATTTTTATACTTTCAGCAGCTATTATCGTCGGTTTACAGAAAAGTTTGCATGTATAAAATATAGGTTGGGATGAAATGCGATCACAAATTATTCGTGGACGAACCTCTAGTCTAGTGCAATTTATATTCGGTATTATGAGCATGAAAAGGACTTGAAATTGCCTTGAACCATCTTTTTCTCGGGCAAGGATCTCGTCGTGACCAAGATTCGGATATTCAGCTGTTTCAGTGGTTTTCAACTATACTATATATCTGAACAAGTGTTTCAGCAGCCGAAAAGTGATCTTGAATAAATGTAACTCATTTAAACTATGTATGGGGAAACGTTTTCGTCACCAATCGTCACCGAAAACAGCTTGAAACCCATGCAACTGGAAATAGCTGAAAGATGCGTAGCTTTATTTGTCGAGCAGTTTAAAAGCTGTGTATCGTTGTCAAAAAAATATGGACAGATCCTAGAAGTGCTTGTTTCTTGTCAAGATAATTCTAAGTTTGAAAAAATATACTGTATATATAACTCACCGAGATCTATGCAAGACTCGTACAGGTTTTTGGCGTTGTTCAAAGCCTGGCTTGCTTTCTGTCCCCTTTGCGCCTCGAGAATCTCTGCGTGTGTTCGCGGATTAGAAAAAGAAAAATCAAATTCCACATTCGTTATCTGCTGGTCGATTTTGGTAAATTTTACCTCTGAGTCTGTTGGAAAGATTGTCTCTGAGTTCATTGAACACGGAGATTGAGGAGGCAGTGGACGGAATGGGATGAGAAGCGACCCAGTTGCCGCAGGAATATTGGAAGAAATCCTGACACGGATTGGCTGTCAGATCCATGGCACCAAGCAGGCGATTGGCTAGAAGTTATTTATAAAAAAAAATTGAATTGTCTCTTCTTCTTCCGGCTAATGCCATAATTTTCATTAGCAAACAGCAATTGAAGCCCTAAATTAAATACAATAATTTCTATGCAAACCAAGTCAAATTTATTGGAGGAAAAAAAATCAAGATTTTCTTTAAAAGGAGCATCATCAATCTGTTCAAAATGAGACAATTGTAGCGGAAATAAATTAATTCAAACATTCACAAACAAGACTTTTGAAGTCACTGTTTGCACCAAAAGCATGTGCATCAGTGAGATAAGAATCTGGCATGAAGGTTTTCTAGGTTTTTTGGATCACTGAAGAAAAAGTTAGCTTCAGAAACGTAAGAATATCTCAAGATCTGTCAGTTGGATCAATTTGCGTATGATGAAAGAAAAGTTGGAAAACATTGTCAGCTTTAATTTAATTAATTTATAAGATGTTGTGGAATTTTCTAAGTAAAAAATTCACAGATTTATGCACTTCGGAATTTTTGTGAGTTGCGCCATACACAAAGCATGTTTTCTTTGATGATTTTATTTCTTTTTGGAAGTACAGAACCTTTTTTTATACCACAATTCAAGATTTTATTTGCTGATTGTGTGTGTGATTGTTATCTTTATAAAACCTGTGATGAGACAAGAATGAAGTCCTCTTTTAACATCCAAGGAGTGAGGATGCTCCAGCTTCCCTTATTTTTGCAGACATAAATTTTTATTTGCACTTTAAATTAAAATCCCTTGGATGCTGGGCAACTGCCTCAGCACTTCAATATCTCTTAGATCTGGAATGTGCTTTTTGCGGCTTAAAATCTCTAATAGACAATAAATTTTTTTTTTAGCAATTGGTGATAAACTGCACTTTGGGACAGACCTTTCAAGTTACTGTACTTCCTCGTGAACTTTGAAGTGTTGCTCGGAAAAGGCGTGATATTGAACATGCTGTAGTATTTAGCATTTCAAAAATAATCTTTAGCTAAAGTAATTCAGCTCTAATAAAAAGTAATCGTTTGTGAAAGATGTGCTATACATTTTTGCTAGATAAATTAATATTTCGTAACGCACTGGTTTCCTTTCTTTGTTAGCTAGTATTTATGCTATTTTTGGCTTCGCATTTGAAAATTTTCAAATACCAAGCAAACAGACATTCAAAGCTACAACAATTCAAATGATGTAAACAGATCGTGTACCAATTGTACAATCACAGAGCATTTACAAATTATTCTTTCCACGTATCTTGTAAAATTGTGGGTAGGAAAATTAAAAGCGCGTCCCGATGAGCAACAAAGAACCTGGAACGGAAAAAGTGAATTAATTGAAACAATTATTTGCTGATTGTGTGTGTGATTGTTATCTTTATAAAACCTGTGATGAGACAAGAATGAAGTCCTCTTTTAACATCCAAGGAGTGAGGATGCTCCAGCTTCCCTTATTTTTGCAGACATAAATTTATATTTGCACTTTAAATTAAAATCCCTTGGATGCTGGGCAACTGCCTCAGCACTTCAATATCTCTTAGATCTGGAATGTGCTTTTTGCGGCTTAAAATCTCTAATAGACAATAAAATTTTTTTTAGCAATTGGTGATAAACTGCACTTTGGGACAGACCTTTCAAGTTACTGTACTTCCTCGTGAACTTTGAAGTGTTGCTCGGAAAAGGCGTGATATTGAACATGCTGCAGTATTTCGAATTTCAAAAATAATCTTTAGCTAACGTAATTCAGCTCTAATAAAAAGTAATCGTTTGTGAAAGATGTGCTATACATTTTTGCTAGATAAATTAATATTACGTAACCCACTGGTTTCCTTTCTTTGTTAGCTAGTATTTATGCTATTTTTGGCTTCGCATTTGAGATTTTTCAAATACCAAGCAAACAGACATTCAAAGCTAAAAAAATTCAACTGTAAACAGATCGTGTACCAATTATACAATCACAGAGCATTTACAAATTATTCTTTCCACGTATCTTGTAAAATTGTGGGTAGGAAAATTAAAAGCGCGTCCCGATGAGCAACAAAGAACCTGGAACGGAAAAAGTGAATTAATTGAAACAATTTACAACGTACAAAACATGAACCACCTTCAAGCAGCATACGTTTCAAGTTATTCTGCACAGTTATAAAAAAAGATGAAATATTATTTCACCAGTAATAAATTCAGTAGTAAGTCCTGATGGATCGTTAATTGAGGAAGGAGCTATTGATTCGATTCGGAATTATAAGGACGAAGAAACATGTCTTTAAAGGAAAGCCTTCACTTGGTAAATAACGTGCATTTTTCGATCATGTATTTCTCTATCAATTTACAAATAGTATAAAATCAGGAGCTTACCAGATTCCTGGCATTCCGGGGTTTGGCAGATTTCTTGCTGCTTGGTCAGCAGAGGCTTGCGGCGGGATTTGAGCAGTGGGTGTTTGGGTTTCGCAGGAGCTTTTTTGGGTTTGGGCACAGGGACGTGGTGTTTTGGAGATTTGCTGTCGGGGTGAAAAACTGGTACATTGTGTCGGGTTGCTCCTGGGGTCTTGATCCCAGGCTGACGGAGTTCTACGTTCTCCTTGTTTTTGCCTTGTTTCGCCAGGAAGTCTCTCAGGAGAATGCTACGCTGGTCCGGGACCCGTTCTAAAAACATATTTTCAGAAAATGAGACCCCTGATTTTCTGACATTGCCTCTTTTAGAAATCTTGGAGACAATCTTTCTCGGGTATGTAGCAAAACTTTAAAATCTTCAAAGGCTTTCCAACCCTGCAGCTTGGATCCATTTTTCTAAAGCTGCTCACTTTTTAAAATTTTTTAAAAGTGTCTTGTAAATATGTGCACATGTTCTTTCAGTGGGGTTTCACAGGGTTTTTTTCCGTTTTTTCTTCTTCTCAGTTTTAAAACTGCTGTTTAATTTTTTTGATTCTATAGGCATAGAATGTTGAATTTTTTTCCAATAGTATATTTCGCTCATCGGCGAAATATAATTGACGAGAAATCGTTGCTGAAATTCTGTCTTCACGTCTATACTTTTTTCATTAAAAAACTCAAATAAAGTTTGCTTAAAGGGTTTTGTTGATATATGTGATAACCAGCCAGTCTTATTACTGTATAGCATCTGCTTAAATTAATTTGTAATTATCTCATCTGACCTGTCTTACTGCATCGTTGGCAGAGACGGATAAAATTTACAGAACGTTTTGATGGCTTTTGTTATTTTTTTATAGTACCGTAGTCTTCAAATCAACTCGGTGATAAAAAAAAAGGAATAAAATTATTAAATATCATGGTGACCATTTTTGTGTAAAAATCTCCCATGCTGAGCCCTCATTAAACGAATGGAGAATCCGATTTGCGAGTATATTCATCGAATTTTGATTTCTTATGCATAAAGGCTTGATTTGCTCAAGAGAAAAAAAAGCTTTTTCAGTCGAGATTTCGAAAGGAAGTCACCTTTTGGATGTTGGATGAACCTAGATTCGATTGCGACAATAGCAGCGACGAGGACAACTGCTGCCAATATCCTGTGTTCAAATCGACAAGATAAAGTCGTCAAATTTTTAAATTTTGATTCTTTTCCGAGTAAAGAACTTCAACTCACGTCCCCCGACCCATGCTTCGGGACTCGACTTCTTTCCACTAACTCCAACAAAAAAAAATTCAAAATATATATATATATAAACAGCAATACTTCTCACCGGGACCAGATCGTTTGAAACAATGAAAACCGATGTTCGGAATGCGTCGAATTTTATCCACGCGTGTTTCCATGTTGGATATGGAAATCCCGATGAAGAAAATTTCCGCAATGTCACTAATCAACGTTGTTTGCAAGTATCCTAAGCTGATAAGATTTTGTTGCTTCGTTTTCTTCAATCCAAACTTTGGGGAAAGATGAATAAGGGTATTTTGGGTTGTGTTGGTTGCAGATTACACGCGTCACGTCGAACGACTGACACTTGAGGCGAGACGCGATCGAGAGTTTTATGACTTGTGTGTTTCTGTTGTTGAGCCATTGTTTTCGTTGATGGATGACGATTTATCGTAGGTCATGTTACCTGTCGTAAAGCCTCATATTTATTGCTGAATGAATATGCTCGTCCCATTTGTGAATAGGGAGATCGGTACAACGCGAAAAATTTGCCGGGAATTTTCTGAAATTTGCGTGTTGAAAAAAAAAAAATTCGCCTCTCATCTGCTGCCCTAAATATTGTATCTATCCACGAAAAAAAAGAAAGACACCATCGATCTAAAACTGCAGTATTTTCTGTCTCAAATTTTTAAAATAAGATTTTGTCGTCTAATATATGTGAGACCTATTATTTTTTGGAGTTTATAATTGAGCTTTCAGAAAATCGGAAGCTTGGCTTTTGTTATAAATTGGATAAAACAGGAAAATTTGCGAGTAAACTCATCTCACGCGGAATTAGATCTTGAATGGCTAATTCAGTGATTTGAATATGATTAAAATGGAAGTGAGGGACACCTTTTGTGCTATTTTACAAAACATTATCATAGAACAAGTGAAGTACAAGTCTTCAACTATAACGGAAGTCTTTTGAATGCTCCGGTTGAGCCACGATTTTAATGATCATTTGAATAAAATATCGGATGAACTTTGATTACGCATGATAATTTTTTTTCTAGGTGCAGAAGAATCCATTCATGAAAGAATCCAGAAAGAATCCATTCCACTTCTATCGAATTTCTGCGTGTTGTGTCGGTTAACAATGTCACCTTTTGAAAAATAGTTCAAGATACTGTGGAATTTAATGTTTAATAGTTTCCATTTTTTTAGCAGAGCCTTGTTACAGTTTTTAAAGGCGCTCTTCAAAATTCCTTGTCGGCTGCATGATGTTCAGCAAATTTTTTTTTTAAAAAAGCATATAAAATCTGAAATTTATGAGGTATTTTTTCGATTATAAGACACGCCCTGATTCCTCAGAGCCAATTCCGTTTTCAGAAAAATGAATCTACAGTATTTGAAGGAATACGGATATGCGGAAAGTCCTGCTGAATTCATCAAGGAACACGATGTCCATTAGCCATATTAAATCAATGTGAAACCCAATACTGTATACATATATTTTTTAAACAGCGGTATTTATCAACAAGAGTATAGTTGAAAGCATTACAACTGTATCCTTGTAAGTAAACACTTGTGCATTGTAATTATAACTTTTAGACAAAGGAGACCGTTATTGCCGGACTATGATTTCCTTCACAGTTTAGCCCATATATAGAGAAGCTTTAAAAAAAATTGAACACCTCGATTCTGACCATCCTTTTATTCGGAATAAGGCTGGTGGAATTGTGGAGGAATGATGCGGTAATAATGCTCCTCAGGATTCACGATTTAACGCTCAATTAAAAAATGATAATTGCCGGTGTATTGACCATGGGATCCTCTTCATGGCAATGGAAGGCCTCTGCAAAACGCTGGTTGTTCGCCATTGGACCATTGCATCTGTATTTATGTGGACTGTACACAGTCTGGAATAATTCCAAGGCATTCCCCAAGTCTGTCGACTTGACGCACCATTGCTGCAACGAGAAAAAAAAAAGTGCAAATTATGCGTCGTGAAATACTTTCCAAAATATACAGTATTAAATACTGTACAATGTATCCTGAAGATATACAGTTTTAAAATATGATGCAAAACACTGAATAGTGAGACAGAATAATTCGTCCTATAAAAACGTTTTGTAACGGAGCTTCTTTTACGTGAAAATGAGTTCCTTCTGAACTCGAAAAAAAGAGGGGAATATTGTTTTAGTGGGGCGAACAAAATTCTTCTTATTGTGTCAGATCATTTAGAAATGAAATTGTTCTGCTAATTGGTTGCCATTAGCCTGTATAATTGAGGTTCCAGTGTTCTTCAGTACAGTACCACACACCGTTTTTACTTACTGTGTCATCGCAAAAATTGGTTTATAAAAGATTAAGTGGTACTGTAGTACCGTATTTACTATAAATTGAGCTTCGGATTTTCAGAAGCTCTATATCAATTGCATCTGGTCAAAATAATCTGTCGAATGATACAGGACTTGAAACAGATTTCAATGAATTCCTTCTCAAACTTTCAGTGCGAGGTTGCAAAAGTAAAAAAAAAAATCTGGATTTCTTCGAGTAGCACTTGAAGATATTGAACCATAAATAGAAGCATGAATGGATTCTTCTGCTCCTAGAAAAAAAAAATTATTTTACTTAATCAAAGTGCATCCGATATTTTCTCGTGATGAATATTCTACGTGTTTTTCTTTTTTCGAGATAAAGGAAGGGATCTTTTTTTTTTAATGGCGGTTTATATTCGAGTTTAATTACTGTTGCTTGGGTGATGAAGAACAGTTGTTCAGGCGTAAAGTTCTCCAATCCACTCAGGGATAGATCTCTTCTGCCTCTGAAAAGGAAATTTTCGTAGGCAATGAATGCTTGGTTAGAGCCGCCATTGTCCGCAGCATTCTCAACCGCCGTTTCCGATCCATTCACGGGTAATTCCCAACCCAAGAATGGCAGCGTATAGCGGCTGTACTGCTCCTTGAGACCCGACTGCAGACTTCTGAAATTTGCCAACGTGTCCGGAGTCCAAAAGTCGTCGAAAATGGCAAATGCGTTATAGAAACGCCCTTCAATCGACAGTCTGAAAAAAAAGTTGAAAAAAGAATTAATACTGTAATACAATTTTACGTTCAACAGAACTTTCAAAGCAGTGAAACCGCGGAATACAGTTGGCACCTTGCAATTTGACCTCCCGCAATTTGACGGTAGAATTTGCAGGGATGAGGTTGACTTGCAATTTGACCTCTGCCTTAGAATTCGACCTGCTTTGGCCACTTTTTTTTTGCTGCTTTATTTGAACTCATATTTCTTAATTTTACGAAGTATCTTACAATTCGACCCTAGTCCAGGAACGGATTAGGGTTGAATTGCGAGGTACCACCTGTACTGGTACTATTCAGCAGGAATAATTGTCTTGAATTCGAATTCAGTCTTATGATTGTCTCTTTCCTTTGGTGATTCAGATAATATGTTGGAACAGATTGTTCCGTTGTTTGTTTGACTTTTAATCATGCCGAGATGTGCATATTAAAAAAATAAAATAAAATAAAAGCAACCAGTTTAACAGGACCTTCCAAATCAGTGAAACCACGTGTGATTAGTGCTGCACAGGCGTCTTACCACAATGGTACCCACAATTGTGAGGAAATCAAAGGCAATCATACTTTCCAGTCCTCTCTTTTCTTTAATGATTCCAAAAACATTTTGTCTATATAGTCATCCTCTCCAATTCGAACTTCAAGGGACCAGCAGAAAAATCGAGGAGTTAATTTTAGAGTTAAATTTAGAGCGGGGAAAATTTAAATTTATTGATTTCGACAAGTGATGCGGTGTTTAGTAGACTGCTTCGTTTTTTGGTTTCGACATTCGGACGCAATCGATCTGATGCCAAAATTATAAAACGGAGGGAATTTTGAAGAAAAGAAAAATGCACAGCCTCGTTCTCACCCATGAGTTATTTCATGACCAACGATCATTCCAATTGGGCCGTAGTCCAGAGCTTTGACGTCTATGTCTCGCCAGAAAAATGGTGGTTGTAAAAGTCCAACGCAAATCACAGCTCTGTTCAGATCAACCAAGTTGAAAGCGTTGACTTCCAATGGACTGACCACCCAGTCCTTCAGTTCAAACTGATTTCTCAGTTGGCTGGCGTATTGATTCCATGACCACGGTGAATAATGATTGATGACGAACTTCAAGAAGTCCGTAGGGTCTCCACTGAGCTATTCGAAAATAATGAGCAATTAATTATGAAAACTCGGAGATGTATTGGTTTCGCCGAACGAAAATTAAGGGTTTCTAATTTTTGTGTGACACTTCAAAAATTTTAGAAGCGCCTAAGAACATCCTATTAATTAAAATTAACCTTAAATTTTAAGACAGCACCCTAAGTATAATCTCTACCCCAAAAAGAATTTTAGATCCACTTCACGCAATTCGAAGTTTTTAAAAATTAAATGCACCTACTAATGTGCTAGTGAAGCACCGAAATTCGTCCATAATAATGCCTTATACCTGGAAATCTTTATCTCATTCGGAACGAATTTCTAGAATTATCCTAGATCTTTAAATCAGACTCGGATACTGTATAATGTCTCACATTATAGCCATGTCAACATCGTATTGAGATAAAATGAATGTCTGACTTGTCTCTCTCACTTTCGAGGAAACATATGGTCTTCATATTCTGCTTGAGAGAATTTTGCTATATAATAAATCGATCAATTTCAAGAAACTTACATCTTTATAATACTGACGAACTTCCTCCTGATCCAATATCCAACTTGGATAAGCTACTTGAAAATCCATGTTGAGGAGTTTCTCTTTTGTTCTTTCTTTCGTGTCACTGCTCATCCAAGAGAGAGATTTTATTTGTCTAAAAAAGCTTGCTTTGATGGTTTCCACGTGATGCTCCACCTGTTGAAAGAAGAGAACAACTTTTCGAAAATTTCAGCCAAAAAAAAAAAAAAAATCAACATGCGAACTTCTCGTTTCAAATCCAGAGGGAAATGCTTCTTGGCATAGGCACTTGTCACGGCAATATCGAAAGCCCTGGCTGTGTATTCAGTGCATTCCCATTTCCTGAAGAAACCGGAAACTCCAATCAATTTTTCTCAGTGTTTTGAATGCTGTACATAATAACGATTTCTTTTTGCTCGAGCACCACCAAGATTTATGGCAACTATGTAAGTAGAATACTTCAGAAAAACTGGAATAAGATTTAAAATGTATATAATTATAGAACCAAAGCGAAAAAATTCGTCAGAATCATTTACTCGTTTGATGAAAGAAATGCACGAAAGAAAAAAAACAAACAAACACACACACACACTCGAAAGGTTATCGTAATCTACACATTAAATATTCTCCCCAAACTAATCAAAAGGTAGTAAAGAAATTTAAAAATTGCGGATTCCTCAGTCGCAAAGTTTCCATATGAAAACCAATAGACAAAACCAAATTTAGTCCGCGAATGACAGGAAAAGAAATGATGAATTTATCCCATGTGATTATTTGCTTGAATGTGACGTAGATGTCGCCCGGATCTTGCTCTGATCCGATCAATATACAGTATCTCAATGATCCCGTATATTATTTAAAATTTTAAAAGTCTTGTAGTCTTGTTTAGTGCACACTTCCTTGAAATCCTCTAGAATTTTCATAGACTGATATTGAGTAAAGTGCAGTTTTTTTTTAGGCGGAACTGAATATGAATCACAAATTATGAATTAAGAAGACACCTTTCGAGAATTAATGCCGACGAAATAAAAATTCGGCTTTTCACCTAGCAATTAGCTAAATAAAACCAGACCTCATGACGATGATGACAAAATTTGAAAATAGCTTCGACTGTCGGTTGCCAGCACAATTCTCAACAAGGTTTATCGTTTGATGGCAAAGTGGGGATTGAAAAAAAGCACTTTTAAAAAGTTTTACGAGGGAAAATATAAAAACCTGTCAGGCTCGGGTAGTCCTCCCAGTCGCAAAGTGCTGGTGTATGCTGAATACGCTTTCCGGGTCTGCGTCGTGAGCAGTGGCAACACTGAGAAGACTACTCTCCAACTGATGAAATTCGCTATTTTGGAAATACACGCATACATTATTTCGTTTACATTTCTGGATTTCGATATCATCTACGGAATTTGGAATTTTCCTGTTATGAAAAATCGACACACTGTCCGTTTAGTAAATGGGAACAATAATTTTAAAGCACAAAGCATACATGAAACCCTGACAATTCACGCAAATTACGGCATAATCCAATTTACATCTCGCCCATTTTCGATAATAGCTCACGACTGGAAAGGAAATTAACATACCCAGTGTTCGCCGCTTCAATTGAATCTTTTCGATTTCCCTGAAATACTGCGGGTATTTGAGCATGATGGGTTCGTTGTGGTCCAAGCTGAAACCCGCCGCCCGAAATGCTCCAATGATGTATCCTGCCCAATTAAACTGCTCGAGGGACCATGAAAAAGCGGTCAAATTTAGAAACCAGATTAGAGAATTTTGTTTTGTTTTGTGGTCAATCGACCAGCGTTATTCCGAAGATGAAGACCGATTATGATATATTTGTATCATTTGAGAATATACTGTTCATTTTCAGGTCAGAAGAAAATTCAGAATTAAAAAGATAACGATAGACTAATTTTATGCAGATTACGTATCTACTGGATTTTCGAACTTATTACGTAGAAAATGGTGTCAAATGTAAGCTTATTTTGTTGTTTGTGAACAATAATTAACTCGGAAAGAATAAACCATCATATTCTATCTATATGGAATGAAACTCAACTTGTTTAGTCTCTTTCTTCGAATTTTCCTTTCTAGAATTTTTTATTCGAATAAGTATTTATTTTCTTCTAATAAGGATTGTATTTTTCAGAAGCTAATTGGGGGCTACAATTGCAAATTTAAGATCCATCCCGATTTTAACTGAATTACTGTATTCCTCAAAAAATACTTCTCGTGTTCGAATGAAGGTCGATTTTATTTCATTCGCGATTTCCCGTGATAAATTCTATCATCTATATTAAGAACCCTACTGTTCTGATTCCGGATGACTGAGGTTCTACACTACAGTATTCTGCAAAACCAAATTTTGAGAAAAAAGGATAAAACGGAGGTTAGCAAAAATTTGCAGAATATTCGTCTACATACGTCGTTCGAGCGGGTTTTCGCAATGTCCTTGAGGTCGACAACAAGAAACGGAGGTGGTTCCTCGTACTTGACTTCCAACGCACACGTAAGCTATCCACCGAAATACAAATGAGAAAAACAAACTCAAAAAAACCGACATGGAAAATTTCTCTGAATTTACAGATTCTGAAATAAGAGCTCGTAGCTGCTGAAATAACCTTTGCCAATTCTATCTCGAAGTTGATCAATTCCCGGGCATCGCCTTCAATTTCTGCTTCCGTCGGTTCCGTGGCGCCTTTGGTGTCCCGCAAAATGATCGCCACTCTCACTAGCAAGTTTCGATAGGCGTCCAGGATGCCTGATTCAGAATTGCAGTAAAATTCTGCGGGAAGGTTCAACGAGGCTGGCCAGAACTGAGAATAAAAAAAAGTAAGGGAAACTTTCAATGAGCCCTCTAACTGGCGACAAACGCCATTAAATTATCGTACAAATGGGTTAACTTCTCTTTCAGAAGATTTGCCAATTTATACCCGATCTATCAGATTTTAAGGAATTTCAGCAAATCCACCCAGTGTGAGATAATATATTTTCCACAGTTCAAGTGAGACCCGCACATGTGAACACTCAACAGGCGGTCAATTTGACATAGTGACATTTAGTTTTCAATGAAAAATCATAAGAAAGGCCTGACATATAGGGACACTGACTTGACATGTGGACATTGCATGATAAAATTTCCAATATGATTCAGGAAAATTGACTTTTATTAGGCTTAATTGTAAGAAACATATATTTCCCGCCCAAAGATCTATGCAAAAAATTTCTTTGGTATTTCTCCCATCCATTCAGCTAATTGAAAAAAAATTACCTATAGCATAGTGGGACTTCCTTCTCTCTTTGTGACCTGCATGTTACTTTTACAGATGCTGCATGCCAACATTTCAATTTACTGTACAGAGGTACACTATATTCAATGCTCCAAATGTTCATATTGAGTTGAAAAGATATTCATTGAATCAAATTCAAGCAGCGTACATTTTTTTCATGGAATTCTTCAGAATATTTCTTCCATAAAACACCAATTAAAAATAATATAATTTGGGTTTATGGGAAATAAAGACTTTGACTTAGGGGCACTCTTGATGCACCAATTACATCAGCATCTGGGGATCTCACTGTACAGTCAAACCTCTCCAAGTCAAATTTTAAGGGGCCAGCAAAAAACTCGATTTAAGGAGGTTTTGACTTGAAAATATAAAATTATGGATGCATGTTTTACTCATGGAATCAAGCATTTTTATTGTGGGAAACAGCAAAGAATTGCAATAAATTGTACATCGTGATATTCTGGGCCTTAAATTGTATCTAAAATGAGTTGACATGGCACTCAGGTAGGATACAGGGGTTCATTTGCCCAATTTAGTCTGTCACATCCTTTCAAAAGTATCAAAACACATCAAATTCTATCAGATATTGCTTTTTTGTTCCTGCTTCAATAAAATAATTGCCTAAAGGCATCCAAAATTTGACTTCTACAGGTTTTAGACTAGAGTAAAAGCCTTCAAGTTAGGGGGGTTTTTAATGCATTTTTGTTGAGGAAATTTAGACAGGGACTTCAAAAAATTCAACTTAGGGAGGCATTTGACTTGGTGGGTTTGACGTAGCAATGTTAAACTGTATCAATTCCCTCAATTTTTCAGTCAAACCTTCTGAACGAGGATGATTCGAATTCAATTAAAATCACAAAAAAAAAAGAGTGGTGTCGTTCATGCATTCTAGATAGTTCTCCTGCTCCCGTCCTGGATTTTGCATGCTAAAATGAAACAGGACACAGATTTCTTATTCCTGGAATTTATCTGCTCTCGGAAAAATATCTTGGAACCAAAACCGGAATAATGGATAGCCTCTGGGAAAATGTCGTTCTGTTTAATACTGTCCCTTTTCTAAACAATCCAATATTATTTCTGATTTTAGCTTGCAAAACCCGCGAAGAAAAAATGAGATTTCCTACCAAAGGAATCAAATATTTTTTTTTTACCGTGATGATGTGCTCCCTCGATGCTTCTGGGTGAGGCTCTAGAGAAATTGTGCCAATTCCTCCTTTTACAAAAGCCGCAGCAGCTGCCCTCATGTAATCATAGTTTTTTTCTTGCCAATCTTTAGTGATCATCGGAAAACCTCCCAAATCCTTATCCAATAAATTGAGTAAAGGTCCAATTCCTGCCGCGTCAATTGCGGCTGAAACGAAAAGGATGATACGCGCTGGTAAAATACTGTAACTCCTTTTACCAGCTAAAAAGTCTGCTTCTTCAAGGGGAAATCTTGTTACAACAATCCTATAATGGGAAAAAGAACATACCACCGAAAAAAAATTATTGCTATGAACAGGGCCGGATTAAGGTGGGTGCTATTGATGCTGCAGAGGTTCACAGAAAAAATAGGCCCCTGGAGAATTTGAAAAAATTTCTCAATTTGGGAAATCCAAATTTTTTTCAATTATGAAAATCTGGCAAAAACAGAGAGAGGCAAAAGTTTTCATGCTGAAAAAAAAAATCAGGCACCAATAAATCAATTTCAGCACTCTGCACATATAAAAACCATTCAAGAGGAAACCAGATGTAGGACATGAAAATCAGTTGAGAGCTTGAAAAAGGAAAAAAAAAGTTGAAAAAAATTTCTGCATTGAAAAAGGAAATCGCAGCCAATATGGCCAGAAACAGGAAGATGCAGCGATAAGGAATCATAGCCAGGAGAAAATTCAATCAAAGATTTCAATTCCAACCATGCCACGCTGCCTGACAGGATAAAATTTTCACTGCTGTTCCCACTCAAAAAGCCTTTGGGGGCCTAAACATTTTTCTGAAGTGATTTCTTGCTGGTGTTTAAAAAATTATGCTTTTTTATTGCAATTTATTTTTTTTATTAGGCCCATTTTTTGTGCAGCATCAGGCCAAAATGTGGTTTAATTCGGCCCTTTTGAATATTGAATATTCGTTACAATAACAATATTCCTACAGCGCTATGTTCATAGTTTTATCGCCGAAACCTTTGTAAAACTTATTTATAAGAAATAATTCGTTTCATCAGAATTTTATCTGCAATAGAGAAGGATTTTGTTGCCTCAAAAATGAAAACAATTTCCCCGACGAAATGAGACGTGGGATTTCCGCATTATATCCAAAATATTTTGAATCAAAGGAGGCATCTATTTTACTGTAAAAGTTTCCAGCTTAATCTCTGCAAATGCCAAGTGTTGTGCCCTTGAACTAAAATGGCAATGCGGGTTTGTTTTTGTTCATATTTAAATCATTCTTTTGGCCAAGAGTAAGTGTGCACGTTGCCATTGTGAATCTGAGAAGCCATGTCAAATTTAAAACAGGTTTTCCGATATTTTTTTCAATGCACCTCATATACTCAATTGAATGATACACTGTATCCATAGAATATGAAATTCTGATTCTTTTATAAATAAAATATGTGCTCTACTCTCACCTTCGTTCTGACAAGCTTTGTAAAATGCTTTTGCTTTCCTCAGTGTTGCAGGATCTTTGGCCGACGTTGGAACATCGAGTATTTCTGCCGAGAGTCACAATTCGGAATTATTAGTGGATATAAAACACCACTTCATTCGTCACACTATCGAAGTTTAATTGATTTATTCCGGAATTCGGATGGACTCACGTTCCAGCTTTTTGTGCAATGCGTCCGCCGCCACGTCGAACGCGCTCAGGTAAGGAACCCCTGGTGGAAGTGTTGTTAAATTCTCATATCCTCCACAGGCGAATTTGTGGAAGTCCTTGCAGGGGTTTACGTTGAGGTCCATGTTGGAACTAATTGTGCTTCCTGTGCATGCCAGAAAAGTCTTTTTTTTCTTCATCTTTATTTTCATATACAGGTGGTACATAGCAATTTGACCTCTTGCAATTCAACCATCACACAATTTGACAGTCACAATTTGCAGGGAGGTTGACTTGCAATTTGACCCTTGTCCCGCAATTTGACCCACTTTGGCATTTCTTTTTGTTGTTGCTTGTTTACTTATATTTTTGATTTTCATGGAGGGCCTTAAGGACTCTTGACCATTTGGCCAATTTCCAATTCAACCCTAGTTCAGCAATGGATTAAGGTCAACTTTTGAGGTACCACCCGTACAGTAAATGCATGGTACAGTATAATTATTTCTAGGATCTGCTTAATTAAGCCTTGCGCAGCAAAGTCAGGATATTTTTGCAAAATCTTGTTCCACTGGAGCACTGGAGATTTTAAAAATCCTACTTTTGTACCCAGTCCTATAAGTTAGATAAAAGTCCAACATTTGTTTCTAATCCTGCAGAAAATTTTGAATGAAAAAGTAAAAAAGTCCCTTACTGGGTGGAATTTTTTCTGCATTCCTGGCATAGGATTTGTATGGTAAATTCCTGAAAACAATAGAAACTTTGCCTCCTTGATTTTCTCCAACTTAGGCCTTCTCAACCTGGAAGCATTTCAGTGACCTTGGGTCAAACTGAAATGCTCTGCCCCCCCCCCCTTGCAAAATACCAAATCCTCCACGCAATGCAAAGAAACCCTCCACTGTCCAAGGGTTAAGATCACACTATGTTGAACAGCTTGATCAGACTAATGGAATTTTGAGCAAGGTGATTATTAATGAATTACTACACTCTCAGTAAGATGCTTGGCTGTTGAGGGAATGAGCTAATCTTGAAAATATTTTAGCACCGGTATACTGAATTTTAGTCAAATAAAATATTGTGTAGTTTATAAATGCAGATTCTTTTCATATAGACCAGGCCCTGATTCTAATTGAGAATCTATTGAAAACCTGCAAATATCCAAACATTAAAAATCTCAATCAAAAAAGGCCGTGCTCAATTTCTTTGATCCCATTTTGAGATGAATATGTGCGGGCTACATTTGAGTGAATACATTATCACAAAATATTGACTTATTAAATTTTACGAAGAATTTTTAATTCAACGCACATTTCCACTGCAGACCCTAAAAGCGGAGGGATGGCGGATTTTTGAAACGAATTTTGATGAAGTATACACTCAACACAAAATAAAGGCATGTTGGATGGCTGAATTATGAAATACAGTAGTACCAAGGGGGTGGATTTGCATACCTGTCGTAGCAAATGCAGTATAATACTGTACCTAAATAATGAAAAACCGAAAAAGCAGACAGATACTCGTAACAGAACAGTCACGACGATTGCAATACAAGGGTATGCAAAAATTGCAAAATATGCCGATGCTTGGGCTGACACAACCAAATAATGTCCAAATGTATTCAGCCCAAGCAATGAATTAGTCAAACAAAGGACCTTTTCTGAAACAACTTCGTTTGTTGTTTGAGGATCCATTACTGTGCCATCGATCTAAGAAAAATAAAGCCAAACCTCGATACGACGCCACACCATTTTAAGTGAGATTTTCGGCTTTTTAAAGTAGATTGGTGTTCATCAACAAAGCTAAATTATTTTTAAAAATCAAATATAAAAGGAAATACAATTCAAATTCTTCCAGAAAAACCTTCAAAATAACCCTGGGATGCGTACATTATATCTAGCTAATACTCTAAAGAAATTAATTATTTTATATTTGTGTTCTTATGTTTAAATTTTTTTTATTTATTTGAGATCTCTCATAGAAATTTGAATCTTGTTGGCGGGATAAATCGAAGGCAATATTAATTGGCAGGAGCACACTGGCAGATGGCGTTTTAGCCGGGTTTCCACTGCTATTATACTTAAGGAAGACTTTATCTTTCAAAATACATGTACAGTAAATTGGCTGTTGCCGAGGGTGGCGGCTTATTCGGGGCGTATCCGACTGTATTGGGGTATACTAGTGGTTTGGTTTTATTGAAAAAGGAGGTGAGTTACCCAAGAATCTGGGAATTATAATCACCAGCGTTTATGCACTCCTCCGAGTAGCAGACATAACCGGGGTCATCCTTGTAAGGAACATACTCTTCGTCCATCCCGTAGCTGCGGCCTCCTTCTTTCTCTTCCAAACGAACGAAGCCATAAAAAACAGGGCCGTAGGCGTGGCCTCCTGCGGCAACATGGTTGCTCGTGTTTCGATCCTCCCCCTTGATTTCGTCAAGACTAGTTCCGTTAGATGGCGCGGTCTGACTGGTGATATCCCTACGACCGAGACTGAAGTTCGCTTTTGTTGCCGTCGTCATCCAGTCAAAATGAAGGAAGTAAGTTCGCTGCCACGTTCTAATCTTATCGACGAGCTTATTATGGGAAGCAGCTGTCAGAAAGAAAAAAAAAACGCAATTCGGATTTACAGCAGGTTTGCAGAACTTTTCCCCGATCTTGTTAATAGTAGGAGGATTCAACAGTGAGTCAAACCTCGATAAGTCATCGCCAGTTTTTGTTGTTTCGTGAGGTTTGTAGCAGTTTAAGAGGGTTGGCAGTTTTACTGGGGATTGGTGGTCCATCAGTAAAGCTAAAATAATATAAAAATTAAGTACAATATAGGTATTGTTCTTCTAGAAAACAAGTAAAATAACAATGGAATGCCTAAATTATATCATCCTATATCTTCCCAAGAAATAAATTATGCCATCTTCGTGTTTCTGTTTTTTTTTTTCTGATTGGAGGCCTCTCGCAGAAACGTGAATCTCGTTGGTCGGGTATATAGCTATAAAAAACAAAATTAATATTCAGGAGCATTTTTGAGCTGTCAATAATTTGGTGGATGGCGTATAACGGGCTTCCAATGCAGTTATCATTGGAAAAGAATTTTGTTTTTCTTTTTCAAAATAAAATGGCAGTTGCTAAGGGAGGCGGTTTATTTGGGGACTTCTCAACGGGGGTTGCTGACTGTGACACCAGGGCTTTTCTATCTGAAATATTTTTCCCAGCAATAAATCGGGTTTGGGTTTATACAAAGAAATGAAAATTGCGATCTGCTGGGCTATGGCCAAGATTTTTACTCAATTCCTGTATACAGTAGTTAGTTCTTGACGATAAAGTGTACGATAACATTTTTCAAAAAACAGAGCCCCATATGCAGCACAGGTGTTTAAAACAATTATTCTCAATAGAAAAATTTTCCCCAGGTCCGTTCGAGTTTGTGGTACAGTAAGAAGATTTTAGAACGTTAATTCAGTGCGTGATTTTCCTAGAATATTCCATATGCTCGGCGGATAAGTCAAAACCCTTTTCTTATTATGATAGTTGCTAGAATAAGTAAGTTTGCAGGCTGATCTGGAATTCAATTGAAGCTGGCAGTTGTTAAGAAGTTCCAGAATTGAGAAAACTGAAGCACTACTTTCTTTCCCAATTTTTAATTGTTTGTCTCAATGATTAACAGGGAGGTACTGTGCGTTGGTAAAATTGAACCAACATGTATATTTATGCAGCAATTTCGAGAGATAAAAAAAGGGAACTGAATGATGACGGGATTTCAGTTTTCATTGCATACTCACTTTCCAAAGACGAAGAGAGGGAATGTAAGTTGGCAGCTACGTAGACATTTGTGAGCACGACTGAAATAACACAACTTTTCGGAGAAACAATTATGCAACAAATCTGAGTGTTCTGACTCAACACGTACAGTTTCCCTAAACCCACGTGAAAGTATTTTTTCTGAAATATTTTTATACTCACGTTGCAATACCTTGGTTCATTTTTGGGCGTGAACAGAAGAAGCTTTTCACAGCACCGAGAACAAAACTCGACGTGGAAGTGAATCAGGCATGACGTGACTGACTTTTATTAATTATAGATCGGTGACGTGTGATGGCCTGTCTTGGGGAAATAGTCACGATGTTTTGATCTCATGCCAGTTAAGCCAAAGAAAAACGTTCGTGACTCTCAAATATAAGAATTTTGCGTGTTTTCATGTCTCTATCACGGTCACCGAATCGAATTATTGACATTAAAAAACCGAAAAAAATTAATGCTATAATTTTTTGTACATGAGTAGCCATTTCATTTTATTTTTGTTTTTTTCTCAGCGTTGGTAAAACTCTCTTTGGGGACATTCAAATTCTGACAGTGCTGATGAAGTGTTACATTTTATAGGTCGGGATTATAGTAAAATCTCATTACAAGTAATTACAACAGACATGTGGGGACTTCAGAAAAAGTTTGTTATAACAGTATTTTCAAAATTATTGACTGGAACATTGTTTCAAATTAAACATGCATAGATTTAAGATCTTCCTTTTAATTGTGGTCTTTTTGGAAGTTTTTCCATGCTTGAAAATCTGTGAACAAATAAATTCAAATTTCAATAACACACAGTACATTTACTCTGAATAAAAAGTTAGCACCAGTACTTTTTGTGGACTTTAGGTTTTTCTAAACAATTTCTGCACAGATTTGTAAGGGTGGATGTTCCAAAAAAGCTGACAGTTGTTGAGCATGAGTAAGGGTTTCTAAAGCATGCAAACCCCTTTTAACAAAAGTTTTGCTTGGTTCATTTAAAAAAATCTATTTGTTGAACCGGCATTTGTTGCAATGAGATTTTACTGTATCACTTTAGCACCGGTATTTGGTTTCACATTGCTGACGCTGATATGTACAGTATGAGAGAACATTGGGATAATTGATGGTCAATCTCGTGCAAAAAATTCCATGGGTCTTTTTTTTAAAATCCGATCTATATCGAATAGACTTGGAGATCGGGCATTCCTGGACAATTCTTCGATTTTGCATATATTGCGTCAATTATTGAGCAATAAACTGGTGCATTACGGACTAAGGTCCCTGTATCAAAGCTTATTTATCACTTTTATTATGATGCTTCCCTCAACTGAAGTGGGTGGCAAGGGATTTCCAGTGACAAGAAGCATTTTTGTGGCGTTCGCACTTCGCAGTAATTCAGGACGGCGTTGAATAAATACGGCAAATAAAATGTTTGCTAAATATCATCTGTTTTTGATAAATCGACAACATACAGTATTTTTTCGAAACTACTGTATCTAAATTTTCTAAAAGACTTGGACTCCATTTTTTTAAAACTCGAGTGTTTTCTCCCCAAAATTCTACTCCACTTTCTCCCCACCCTGATCAGCGAACAGCGAGCACATCACTGTAATCCACCCACATTTGATGACGTGATTCACATCAATCAACATATGAAGTTTGAGAAGTATAACACACAAAAATAGTATAGGTACTACAGGAGTATAGGAGATGAGGAGGAAGCGATTTTCAGAGATACATAGTTTTGTCATGTGAATGTGGATTAAATTGGATATGTCCTTCTTTCGGATACATAGAAAGGTGGATTCCCGATTTTGCAAGAATCCAGTCTGAAGCAATATTCTAAAACCCCGACTAGAAACGTATTTCTCGTCCCCAAGCAAACGATGTATTAATAAAATCATGTTAACAACTGCATTGCACCTTTTCTTACAAAATCTTCCCCCTAAATATGGTTAATCCAGATCAGCGGAGGTAGTGCATTAGCATACCACAAGGTGCCCCTATGTACAATATTACTCGTTTTCTCTCTCTGATGGTGAGTCGTCTCGTCCTCTTTTGTCTCTAGGAGTGACATCTATGAATGTTACAAAGAAACATACTTTGCCTATCCGGTAAGGTATTCTAGTCGGTGCCTGGACGTTCCAGCATAGTTTTTACGTGCCACCACTCTTTTCCACACCCCTCCGCTAAAGGGCTATTCACTTCCACTCCCAAGGAAAATAAGGAGTCACTTCACAATAAACGCATGTAGTTCAGTAGGAATTTCATGATGAAATTGGTATAGGAAGACAATAAAGTACTGTATACTGTTCAATTGAAGCCAGACATTACCTAATCTAGAGTGCGCCATTTATTTGATTTTTCATGATATTCGCCTTCTCTTTTTTATATGCCGTAAAACCTAACCTAAATCCTTGCAGCTGAATTCACTCTCTAAGAGCCGCTGGTGGCTCTGAGAGAAAGTGGCGCTGAAAAAAGGCTTTGAGGTGAGTGGAAGTTGTGCGGAAGGTAGCGTCACGATTCGGGCCACTAGTGCATTACCGACACGTGGAGCTGTACCCGCAATCTACTCGGAGCACTTGTGGGGAAGGATGAAGGAATTATAATGTCACGGTGCGCGAATTTAATATCTGCGTTTTATCTTAGTTTCTTTTGGTGAGGTGTTTCGTGAAATATGTGGTGTTTCAGCGAACGAGTTCTATAGGTGAACCTCAAAACAGGAACTGCCTCATAGCTGTTCTGTGAATACAGTTCGTGTATTTTATCATTATTTTCTGTGACAGACTCCATATGTAGTGCATTCCTCAATTTCGAAGAATGAATGAAATGGAGTGAGTTTGTTATGCATTGAAACATTTTAAAGTAAGCTGGCGTCTTCGAATTCTGGTCTGCATGATTGACGTGAGAGCTTTAAAATATCTGAATAAATCTTTCGTTCTATTTCCAATGGAAAGTGTAAGCATTTGCTGTTCGAATGCTGTCGCGTTTTTTAACAGATAACGATGTGATACAATCAGCGCGAGGAATATAATCTCCACGAGCTTCTTCGAATGCCCAATGTACGAAATGTCGTCAACAAACACCGGGCAACGGGCGTTTGCTCAAAAGCTGTCACGTTACCAAGCCGCAGATGTTCGACGTCGAATAGCAGCCACTGCAAGTTTTGCATCTGGCGAAAAATCCGATCCCTTCAACCGCATTTCATCGCGTCCTGTATCTGGACTTCTGACGGGAATTTCTGCTTCTCAAAATGCGAATAGAGAGACGTCTCTCGATCCTCCGGACTACGAAGAATTGTTGGAACAAAACTTTGACGTCTTGATAGGGGATCCGCTTTGTGATGTTCTTAAATTTCCGGATGACGATGTGGAAGTCGTTTGTGTTCCAAGGCGTTGCCGAACCGTTGTACCACTACTGCCCGAATTGGATCCTCAAGTTTGGTTAGCCAACCCAAGATTGAACGATTGTGTTCGTTCATACACTCGTGATTGGGTCGCCGTTCATAGGAGGTAAATTCAATTCCCGATTTAACCTGTACAGTATTAGGAATTGACGTGTTATTGCTTATCACTAGGTACCAACAGCATAGTAGCAGCCTGGTGTCTCCACGTCAATCTTATGAAAGGATGACTGTTCTCAATCCCCCAAAACGTCAGGAATACGAAATAGATCTTATTCAAACATCCGGATTTGATGAAGACGAAGATGACGATCGTGGTTGTCAGAACAGTACATCTACCAGCAATTCTTGTCGAAGCTCTATTCAAGTTGACGAAGAAACTCCTCGTGGAAGCTGGGCATCGTCGATATTTGACTTGCGAAACTCTGTGGCAGACCCTTTGATCACTGGTATTCTTGATTCCACGCTAGTCCCAAAAAATAGCTCAATTTTGGATTCTCCGAAACAACACGGGAGGCACGAGATGTTATTTTCTTTGTATCCACCTCCTGCTTTGGAAGAGCCTTTGGAGAAACGACTTCCTGCTGACATTCCGTCCGAGCATACTGGTCACAAAATCCTTGTAAAAATTCATCACTTGAAATTGGATTTAGAGGTTGAGCCAATTTTTGCGTCAATGGCATTGTACGATGTGAAGGAGCGAAAGAAAATATCGGAGAACTTTTATTTCGACCTGAATTCGGATGGTAAGTACTCACGAGATATATATATATATTTTTTTTTTTTGAGTGTAGCTTATTTTCAACATCTTTTTCAGTATTGAAGCTACTACTGGGTCCCCATCTGAAGGCACAAGACGCTTCCACATTCGCAAAAAGCTGCGTTTTTGACTTGTCCTGCCCATCACCCGACATCTATCTGATCATTAGACTGGAAAAAGTGCTTCAAGGAGATATTAATGAGTGTGTTGAGCCTTATATGAAGGATGATAAAAATCGCGAGAAAGTGAAAGCCAACGCTGTTGCTGCATGCGAGCGTCTGGGTCGATATAGGATGCCTTTTGCTTGGACGTACATCAGCCTCATGCACGTGATAAATCCGAACACAGCGGCATCATCATCCCAGTCATCTGGAGGAACACTGGACTCGCGTGACTCCGGCTCTGACAAAAGCAGTGCGAATAGTAGTCTGGAAAGGAAGACAAGTGCAAGTCAGAAAGACTATCCTGCTCCTGATGTTCCGCAGAAACCCCGTAAGATCGGTTCATGTGGTGGGCTTCTTGATGAAACAGGATCCAATTACACAAAAAAGAATACTCTGGAACGATCAGCATCTACACGTCAAAGTGGAACTTTGAGTTCTGTTGGTGGTCTCAGTACAACTTCAATGTCAACCACTGGTACTGTTGAAAAACGGACCGTCTGGACTTCTGACGATGTTGCGTTAGCCCTTGACTCCTTCCGTGCGGTTACGCTAACGATGACCAGCTTTTTCAAACAAGAACCGGACAAAATGCGTGAAGAGGATTTGTACAAGATTCTGCATGATTACCGCAGACACGCCGCCCATAAACGACTCAAGTCAATTCCTGGTTCGCTGAAAATGGAATTTAGCCCTTGTCCTCATGAATTGCCGCATATGGTAACACCAGAATTGGCAAAGTTGAAGCCTTATCCCGATCCACACGCAATCCCGACAAAAGAAGTCCTTGAATTCCGTCCGCGTGATCTCTACGCGCCAAACTACTCCTATAGAAATATTCTGTTCATTTACCCACGAGAAGTAAATCTCACGAATCGGCCTGGAGGATCAGCGAGGAATATTGCTTGCCAAGTTGAATATAGGGTTGGTGAAACTGAGGACTCTGCCTTATCCGTGATTTTTGGCAAAAGCAGCTCTCCGGAGCTTGAAAAACAGGCTCGAACTTCTGTGACGTACCACAACAGATCACCTTGTTTTTATGATGAATTCAAAATCAAAGTCCCGGCGAAGCTTGATGATAAACATCATCTCTTTTTCACCTTCTATCACGTGAGCTGTCAGAAGAAAGAAGCTCAGAATCAGGTCAGTTTTTTATTTTTTCAAGCAAAGTTGCTTGTCCTGTACTAAAATTGCTATTTTTGGTCCGACGAAAAACTGTCCAATGCTCATTTGATGTTTTTCTACTTTCTAAATATTTAGGTTGAGACCCCTGTTGGTTATACCTGGTTGCCGTTGATACGGGACGGAGGTTTGGTTTCTGGAGAAATAAATCTTCCAGTGATGATTGACCAGCCCCCAAAGGATTACTCAATCGTTGGCCCAGAAGTTCAAGTACCACATTATAAATGGGTTGACAACCACAAGAACGTTTTCACGATCAACGTACGTCCTGTAACAACGGTGCACTCATTGGATCGTCATATTGATAGATTTCTGAATCTCTGCTCTGAAATCGAACGTGGCGAACCTTTACCACGATACTTGCATGGAGAGGGAAATGCTGAGCGGGAGCTGAAAACAAGTATCGAAGAACTTCGTCTTTCTGCGTTGGATGCGCTTGTTAGCTTTCTACCGATAGTGTTGGACAAGCTTTTATTGAATATCGTGAGACCCCCGAGAATAGGAACGCAGGAATTGAAACTCAGTCAGCCGTGCTTTGAAGCTATGGGCGTCATTGCGCAGAGAGTTTCGATGAATTTGGAGGGACAGAGTGACCACCTCGGAAGGAATCAGTTACTGTCTACGTATGTGAGTTATGAGGCAACGTTGCCTCATCCAGGGACAGCCCCACTCCAGACTTATTCGCCGACCCGGGGCCCAAATTTCCGGACGTGGGAAAACCCAGGAGCCGTTGTAGCTGGACTGGAGCATAGAACTGCCGGTGTTTACCGCCAAACGTCTAGTTTTGATTCAAGTGTTGTGCAGGATGAGCCTGGCACGCAGTCTGTGAGGAAATTGGTTCACGAAGAGATAGCTTTGCAGTGGGTGGTCAGCAGTGGCACTGCGCGAGACCTCGCTTTGACAAACTCGTGGTTTTTCCTGGGTGAGTTGCATTTTATTGTGCTCTTTCTTCTCGGTTTTTGGCGTAAAATTTCAGCTAACGTCAAAATGTAACGCGCGAATCATGTTAGTTTAATTTTCACATTTAGTCTGGAAAACTGATGTACCATACTTTTCCAAAGATAAAATATGGCTGAAGTCCGAAACGTCGATTCTTTCATGAACGCAAAATGTATTTATATTGATGTAAACTTCAGTTTCCGTTTACCGTATTTTTTATCTCTTTTTTGTAGAAATTAATAATTTATCCCTCTTTTTTCTGCATTAGGCAAACCAGGAAAACTAGTCACAGTAATGACCGAATCATTCGAAGTTTGACAGTACAATTCACCTTTTTTGTTGAATAAATATTCGAAGTATTTTTGCGACAGTACGGAAATGCAGTACAGTTCTTACTTGAGAACGGACATCTTTGTTTTGACCACGATTATTTTTACGCTGGGGTTATTTTTTTATCGTTTATTGGTGTGGGAAAATCGAAGTCATGGTTGAGGAGGGGAACAAAAATCGTTGACAGCAAGGAGTCAATTTACTTCTGTAGTCCTTCTTTCGAAAAGAATTGAGCCTTCATTGAGTGCATGAAAGCTAGAGCAAACTGCTGTCTAACCTAATGTGCATGGGTTCAAGATCAGCTGAATGATCAACTTCGCTTTTATGCAACGTGGCTGGTTTACGTGACATATCGAGCATTTTTAGAAAATCGTTCCGGGCGCATTTCCATTCGCGTGGAAATCTTGAAATTCGTGAACATTAGTCATGCGGGATGATGTGAATTTCAGATTTCAGTTCAGAGGCGTACGTGCGATAACGGATAAGGCATTGCTATAACGTGCACGGCGTTCGAAGTATGCCCCTCGAGATATAAATATGTGGCGAAGTCTTCCGGCTGCGTTCCTAATCTGCCCATGTTGCGTGACATTCCAGAATTCCTGCGTCGCGTAGAAAGTTTACGCGAGTATTTCTCTACCTGGTCGAACTAACCTAATGCGCATGTGCGGAAAGTTCGCTTTGTGTATTCCCAACATTTCATTCCATTTTCTTCACGCATAATGTTCATTATTTTTTGTTGTTCGTATATGCAGAGCTCATGGTGAAGTCGATGACGGAACACTTGAGGACGTGCGGAGGTCTTACAGGAGTTTCGAGGAAGAATCGATTTCCCGAACAGTTCACTGATGACGTCACAAATCTCGTAACGAGCCTCACTTCTGATGTGATCGCTAAGTTCAACCGCGATGGAAGAGATTTAAAGGCTGTGTCCCGGCTCAACTCCAGTTTGGCTTTCTTTATCCAAGATTTGTTATCGATCATGGATAGAGGTTACGTTTTTGGATTGATCCGAGATTACTGCAAACGCTTGGATACGAAAATCAGTGAGTTTGAGTTTTTTTGGCGTTTTGGTTGACTCAACAGAAATGCTTATTGTCTTCGTTCCCACTGTCGTATTCCATGACATACTTTCAGTGAGCTATTGAAAGTGATCCACGTTTCGAAGATTGTCTCTAATGAAACTCAATTTTTGGGGGGTAAAATAAAAAAATCTGCTGATTTCTAATACAGTATTAGAGTTGAAGCCTCCTAGAGTTGAAGAGTATCTTGATTTATACAGTAGAAATTCTCGTTGCCAATCACTTCATTTTAAAAAGCGTATCTCTTTATCTTAACCTCCTAAAATTTTATCAATTGAAGATGTGAATGGTTCGCATTTTATTTCGTTGTCTATGAAGCTCCATTCTTGGCTGAATGATGAGTTGATTTCTGATTATTCGGCTGAAAAGCTCTAAAACTAAAGTTTTAGTGCGATTTGTTTATATTTTTAGTACTGTACTGGACGAGGGTTGTCCCACTTCCGATTGACCTTGGATATTTCCAAAGTAGGTACCACTGTAAAAAAAAATTCAAAGAAACTTCTAGGTTTTGTTTTTAATTTTTTAATCTTCTGCCTCAAGGTCAGAAAGCAGGGTCAGGAGACGTCTGCCCTAGTCCCGTTAGATCTTGCCCCCATTCAACGCCCGATTTTCTTCCCATTTGCTCAGGTTCTGCTTCTCACCCCATTTTCTTTCATTTCCCTTCCTTCCAGTAAAAATAAAATATGGAAAAATATGAATAGATGTTCCAGAAAACTTCAAGGTAATTCGAAAAATATCACAGGCATGAAGCCGGGCCTTGTATGATGATTTTGAAGGGGACTTTGAAAAAAAAATGGAAATGAACAGTACCACTTGGAAAAATTCAAAATGCACTTAGGTTTTCACTTGTTGAAAACAAAATACAGTACCGTACTCAGTGAAAAAATTTGAAAATTTTGAAAGATGTAAAGAAACTCATTTTAAAAACAACAAAAATTATTCAATTTTTGTCTGGCCTGAAAATGTTTCAACAGCTTGTGATATGAATGGAGAACTCTCACTGGGAATGGAAAATTTTCACTGATCATTATGCAGTAAATCTAAAATTTTTTATAAAAATCTGAAACAAATCCCAGAACCTTACAATGCCATCGGCTATATATAATTTTTTCAACAGTTGTAGATACTCTAGAAATACCCAAGGCTAAGCGGATATGGGACAACCCTCGTATGTGCGCATTTTTAAACTTGGCGAGTTCCTGCCAATGTTTACAATATCGTGATCCTGTCCACTGTCACTGCATTTGGTGATCGTTATTATTTCTTTTGCAAGGTTCTCTTCCTGATGCTGGTTACCTGCTTACTTACAAGCTGGATTTTCTTCGCATTGTGTGCAGTCATGAACACGTTATCGCACTGAACTTGCCGTTTGGCACCCCGCTTTGTCCGCCTAATTTGCATTGTGGAAGAGGATCTGCCTCGTCGCCGACCCCGTCTGTGTCGTCGCAATCCTCTTGGGTTTCTACCATCGTTGGTGGCACAGGAAACAAATGGATCTACGCGGATTTGTCGCCTGAATACAAGCAACATCACTTTCTGGCTGGGTTGATCCTAAGTAATCTGCAAGTTGCGTTGGAAAGTGCGCACAGCCCAGCTGTCCATTCAAGGGCAGTGGAAACTTTGAGAAATTTGCTGTGGTGTCATGACGTGGATACTAGGTGAGTTGTAATTTCGTCGTTGGGATTTTCTTTTTTCGCTTAAAAAATTAAGTACTGCAGTTTTTTCAGTCGTTCACCGGAGAGTTGGGGAATCAGTGGAAATTTTCCTCGAATTTATGGGCAAAGAGAAGTGGATAATTGTTATATGGTTATGCACTTATAATAAATCATAAGTTATTTTTCTGAGTTATTTTTCATAAATTTTACTTCGTATTCATGAGCAGTAATTGTCCGCGAGAAACCCAATAATCTGTATCAACAGAAATCATTCATTCTAATACTTTTCCACATAGGTTCACGAACGAGAAAGTCGCAAACTACGAAGGTATTCGTTGTTCAACGAAATCGCGTGTGGCTTGCCTGTACCTGCCCCTTCTTGGGATTGTCTTGGACGCGATTGCCCAGCTGCATCGTCCCAGCAACGAAGGAACTAAATTTTGCCGGGCTTTCACCAGAAATAAAGTGAACCGTGGTTCGATGCATGCAAATCGATCTGTGGCAATCGGATCCCCGGATGATGGAGACTCGGACAGGAGTGATGCCCTGTCGCGGCTGGACGGCGTTGGACAGCGATCTCCATTGTCAGTGGAAAGCACGAAGCATTTGTTGGTCTGCTTGCTGTGGGTTTTGAAAAATGTGGAGTCGAGTTTACTAAGAGCGTGGTGGTGTGAGATGCCTGTGGGGAGGCTGAAGGAGTTGCTTGATGTTTTACATATAGCTGTCTCCTGCTTCGAATATTGGTGAGAAATTATTTGTGAAGTAAATACAGTAGCTTGATTTTCGTGTGATTTCTAAATTGCGATTTTTCTTCGTTTCTAGTGGAAGAAGAGCCTTGAAGCAAGCACAAGCCAGTTTCAGGAAACCGCACGGGGGTGGTGATATGAAATCCCGTTTAGAAGAAATGATCCTCGGTGGACATGGGTCTGCAAGATTAGAGCTTATTCGCAGGAAGAATACACAAGCTTCTCCAGGGTTGGACACTCGTGATTCAGGGGCGGTTTCTCTTCCCAGTGTTCCTTCTGGAAGCAGTAGTCCAATGCCCAGCTTGCGTTGGCATAAAGATCAGTGGAGAACCCCTTTGGCGTCAACTACCGGTTCTGAAGCATCGACCGTGGTCGCATCCGCTCAACAGTCTCCGAGTGGCTCGGATTCCGACGCTGCTGTTCTGGGCAATCTTTCAGCAGAGTGCATGCTCGTTATTTTGGACACGTTGGAAATCGTGGCGCAAGTGGCGACGAGTCACTCTGCGGAATCTTCTGCTCAAGCTCTGCTGGGTGAAGTGTTGAAAGTGTTGCTGCACGCGTTGTCGAGAAATCAGGCTACATCGGTTCTGTGCGCATTATTCGGATTTCAGCGGAATTTATTGGTCAAGTTCCCGAACTTGATTTTCGAAGAGGATAGTGAATTTTGCGCTGACCTATGTCTTCAGCTGCTGAGTCATTGCGGCTCTGGTATTTCGACTGTGAGAGCTCAGGCAGCTGCATCCTTGTATGCTCTCATGCGGCAAAATTTTGAAATCGGCAACAACTTCGCAAGAGTCAAGATGCAGGTGAGCCGGTTACGTTTCTGTTGTTGTTGCTTTTATACAAGACGCAAATGAAATTCAGGGCAGTTGTGTAAAATTGTTTGCTGTGTGAAGTTGTGAGAATTTTTTGAAAAATAATCGTAGTGTACAACTGGTTGGAGTTGAATACTGTATTTTAGTCAAATGGTGAAGTTGTTTTTTGTTTTGCTAGGAAATGCAGCTACTGTATTTCTGGTGAACATTTTTTCAGCCTCTTTGAAGAATTGAGAAAACCATTCTGTGTGTTAAATGATTTGTATGAGAATTCTCTGTGAATTATGCTGTGAAATCGCTAAACCCATAAACCGTTTGACAATTTCCAATGTCCTGTGCATCATGCGAGGTTATTTTAAACTGCCTATGATTTCTAGGTCACCATGAGTCTGAGCTCGCTGGTGGGAACGTCAACCGCATTCAATGAGGATTTCTTGAGGCGTTCATTGAAGACAATTTTAACCTACGCTGAAGAGGACACGGAATCACATGAAGATTACTCAAGTTTTCCCGAGCAAGTGCGGGATTTGGTGTTTAACTTGCACATGATTCTTTCTGACACAGTCAAGATGAAAGAATATCAGCAAGACCCAGAAATGCTTCTAGATTTGATGTACCGAATTGCCAAAGGATATCAAAACTCCCCGGATCTGCGCCTAACGTGGCTTGCAAATATGGCCCAAAATCATTCGAAACAAGGTAATTTGAACCAAATTATTATTATTTTTTAAGTTGTGTCTGAATTTTGTTGAACTCGGCAGGAAATCATGCCGAAGCTGCCATGTGTCTCGTGCATAGCGCCGCATTAGTTTCGGAATATCTTCTCATGATTGAGGACAAATTGTATATGCCACGCGGTGCCGTGGCATTTGAGTCGGTCTCTCCCAATGTTTCAGAGGAAAGTGCTGTTTCTGATGACGTCGTTTCACCCGATGACCAAGGTATAAAGTCTCTCCTCAGTCGCGTTGATTGTCAGTGATACCATAGTTCGTTGTGCTTAATGTAGGTGGCACAGGAGCGAGTGGCGGAGGAATTGGTGGGGGATCGTGCTCTGGAAAATATTTCACAGAAGCTGGTTTATGTGGCCTGATTGAACAAGCTGCGAACTCGTTCAACGCTGCGGGAATGTATGAATCCATCGACCGCGTGTACAAAGTTCTTTTGCCGATTGTGGAATCGAGCCATGATTACAAAAAGCTTTCGAATATTCACGGGAAACTGCGCGAGGCCTACGAACGAATCGACCAGCTACACGGAAAGCGTGTGTTCGGAACTTATTTCCGAGTCGGGTTTTACGGAGCTGCGTTCGGTGACCTGGATGGGGAAGAATTTGTGTACAAAGAACCTCCGCTTACGAAGCTTTCTGAAATCTCGGATCGTTTGGAAACTTTTTATGCGGAGCGATTCGGAACCGAAAAAGTTGTCATTGTGAAAGACTCTAACCCAGTTAATCCGAAGAAACTTATTCCGGACAAAGCGTACATACAAATCACGTATGTGGAGCCCTACTTCGAAAGCTACGAAGAACGACGACGTCTGACTAGTTTTCATTTGAACGACTGTTTGAAAAATTTCATTTTTTCGACACCATTCACGAGAGACCCAAATCGACCTCATGGTGAACTCCACGAGCAGCACAAACGAAAAACAATTGTGACAACCCAAAGTCACTTTCCGTACGTGAAGACGAGAATTCCTGTGATTGCGAAAAGGTCAGTTTCTTCCTTGTTAATATTTTTTACATTTTTGGGCATGAGTTTTCTTCAAAAGATTGACTAGGTAATCGTCAAGTGTCAGGGAATTCATTAAAAGCAATGACGAACAATTGGATTTTACTCGGTTTCGCAAATGATATCCAAAGTTGATCATTGGGAGCATGGCATATTTTTGAGGTGCTGCTGATGCAGGAAATTATTAGAATAAGACAAAGTTTCCCCGTTGAAAAATATTTAAATTCAACGTTGATAATTTAATTTATATCACTGTAAAATAAATCTGTATTTCAGGAGCGTGACGTTGTCACCGGCTGAAGTGGCAATCGAGGATATACAGAAGAAATGCACTGAGCTCGCAGCAGCGACTAATCAAAATCCACCTGATCCGAAGATTCTCCAAATGGTATTGCAAGGCTGTATCGGGACAACCGTGAATCAAGGACCTCTAGAAGTCGCTCACGTGTTCCTTTCTGACCTCAAGGACGGCGTGAAAACTCCGACCAAACTCCAGAACAAACTAAGGCTCTGTTTCAAAGACTTCTCTCGGAAATGTTCTGATGCCTTGAATAAGAACAAAAATTTGATTGGACCCGACCAGCGGGATTATCAGCGTGAGTTGGAGAATAATTACAAGAATTTCGTGAGCCAGTTAGCGCCAATGATTACGATAAGTCGACCCGGAGGTGGAATTAGTGAGCCCGATGCCAACCAGAGATTGTGGAAGCATATTTCTGCCCTTCCCGGGAAAGAGATGGATGGCTTCCATGCAATTCGTTCCAGTCCTGTCGTTTAATGACTTGACGCTCGAATCTTTCCTCACCGGTGTTGAAAAGAAATCAAGGACGTATGTGATTCTTTCTTTTGATTTTTAAGTTTATATACTATTTTGCTTTTTCAAATTTTTCTCCGCATACGAAAGAATTTCAAATCGACGATGTTTCTTTGGGTTATTTTGTTAGCGTTAAAGCGGCTTTAACACCCCGTGAGGTTGTAGTTAGTACTTGACAGCCGATTGAATGACACCAGTAATATTTGTGTGAGGACAATCAGCACTGCCTCGTTTTTACGAATTTAAATTCTGCGTTTGACTTCTGAAATTACGCCTGCTTTGTTACATGCAGTTAGTCTTGAAGATTAGGATTACTGTTTTTCTCGTTCATGTTTCCATGGAATGACATCGTGCGAAACGTCGGTGAGATGATGCGGTTGAAGAAATTTTCCTAGGAATCTTGAGTAAAAGACGTTAAAATATTGTACAAAGCCTTCTTGCTGCGAAGAACTGTTCTTTGATCTCTTTGTTTAGTAGCGTGGAAGGACTGCGAAGTGCCTGGCGGTGTGAGAATCAATGGTTGTTGATTGCTTTGAATTTTCCAATGTTTTGAGAACTTGCGTCCCACCTACTTGCATTTTTGCCCGTGATTTTCATCATTAACGTGTCTTCATGCGAATCACATCGTGATATTTGTTTTGTTTTTTCTCCGATCAGTGAGAGGCTGTCAGATTTCAGGAGATCGCCCATTTTGAATTCGCTTTGCATTTGTGAATGTGTTGTGTTTTGTGATGGTGACGATGAGCGATAACGATGATGGTATCCAAAATGTTCGACTAGCAATGCGTTCTGCGTTTTCCCCGAGAGGTTCTAGTCGAAGCAGCTTCTTGTTTCTCGGGTATAAAAGATTCGTCTGCGCCTGTTTTTGAAACACCGGTTGTTTTCTTACGAAGACCAGGAAATTCGTGGAATAACCAATCGTTTTCATTTTATGTTCGCCGACTCTCCGGGTTTGTTCAAAGTCTAGTTAGCTTTTAGTTGTGAAAAGCTAATTTCTTCAAGGAATTTTGAGGCCTTCATTCAGATGCCTTTAAAATTCGACAACTTTTGAACTACCCCGGATGAATCCGAAGATTTCTTTGATCTGCTGGAAGGGTCCGGCAACGCCTCCTTAATTTATCGATATTCCCCGCAGGTTGTGAATGTGAGAATGAGAATGTGACGGTAATTAGGAAGGTTCGGGTGTAGAGAAGTCGGGGGTAATCGGATCAGTAGGATAGCTTTGGCGGCGCTTGCTTTTGCGCCGATCGTCACAACTGGCTCTCCATATCAACACGATGATGCGGAAACCCATCGGCATTGCTTTCATCACGAAGATCGCATCGAAAATCGCCCCGAGGTCCCATGCACGGGTTTCTGTATCGAGAGCAACATGGTGAGCTTTTTCTCTGCTGTATTCAATCATCATGCTGCAGCGAGTACTGTGTATCTGTGCGAATATGTGACTCCATCTGCTCAAAGACACACTCGACTTTTCAGACTTGAAAAATGAATTTTCTCACGACTGTTGATTACCATAAAATTCTTCTATGGAATATCAAAATTGCTATAATCTTGTTATGATTGTACTGTGGAAGTGTGGAGTATCTCCTAGGAGAGATTAAATTACAGTAAAAATTGAATAAATTGAGTTTCGAAGCGCTATCTTTTTTTCCAGGTAAAATTTATTTCTGCAACAAATATGATGTAGGATCGAAGAAAATTATCGGAATTTCTCGCATCTGCGCTTGAAATTATCACATTTTCCTGTTGTAGTTTCAATTTTTCCTCTAACCTTTCCCACAGAAATTTAAATACAGTATTTTAAATAATTTTATGAGGAATTATTGACTTTAATGGCTGCTCATTTATTGCCACTTCATAAACTGAGATTTAGAATGTATAGGTTTTACTCAATGAGAACCAAGACGCATTCTGGTGGTTGTATAGGTCAAATCGAAAGTAAGTACAATACTGTAACTTATATTCTCGTAAATACGTGGTGCTTTTTTTTTCAAAAATGATTTATATTACGTGATTTTTCAGGTACCGATACTCGGTGCTATTTCTTACTTTCCTTTGCTACACGGCTTATCATATGTCGAGGAAGCCTTTGAGCGTCGTCAAAAACGTGCTCAATCAGAATTGCACGTCTGTGGATAATGGTGCCTGTGGCTGGGCCCCTTTCAGTGAGTTCCTTTCACATCAACTTTTGATTTGTATTATGTACCTCGAAATGCTGAAAACATTCTTCTTCCAGATGGACCGAATTCTGCTCAACTGCTTGGAACTCTTGACTCCATCTTCCTATTTGCTTACGCTTTCGGCATGTTTTTCAGGTGAGTACCCTCGTCCGCAAGTTAATCCTAATCCTCGTGATTTCCATAATCCAGTTAACGGATACAATAAGTAATCCTGGTTCTGTTGTAGAGGATCCCTCATTTAATAAATGTCTTCAATTACCATAAAACATTTGTTGTTGTAAGAATATCCTTGTAGAGGAAATTGTTGTCGAGTGAGTGTATCTGTGTTCTGCGTTTTTAACGCTTTTTTTGTATCTGTAATATTTGAGAAACGTATTTCACAGCGGGATTTTTGCGGAGCGAATGGATTTGCGTTTCTTCCTCACGCTTGGTATGTTGACGTCAAGTATCTGCGTCTATCTCTTCGGTATTGCGAAGAGTTTCGAAGTTCATAATTTTGGATATTTTGCTGTTGTGCAGGTGAGTGAAAGCGGGGGGTTTTGAGTGAAGATAACGGTAAATTCTTAAAGGTTTGATTCATCCTTTCTTCAGTTAATTGGTGGCCTAGTGCAAACTACTGGTTGGCCGGGAGTCGTGGCATGCATTGGGAACTGGTTTGGCAAAGCGAAACGAGGTGAATCCGATTTATTTTCCATTTTTTGAAATCCCCGTTTAATTTTACGTGATCATTCATTGTTCAGGATTGATCTTCGGAGTATGGAATTCGCACACGTCTGTTGGTAACATTCTTGGCTCTGTTATTGCTGGAGCATATGTGGACAACGATTGGTCTCGATCTTTCATTTTGCCGGCGCTGATCATGGCCGGAACTGGCTGTTTCATTTTTCTATTCCTTGTTCCCGAACCGAAAGACGTTGGCTGCGACGAACCGCATCATTATGTGAGTGATCCGGGATCGTATATGCCAAAATTATCTGCCGCCATTTTTGTGCTATCACAATCACCTTAAAAGTTAATTGGTCCTTTTCCCCCCTTTATTACTGAGAGTGTTGATTTCCCCCAAGTATTTTACGAGGTGTTCGCGATTTTTTGTCCAATCTTTTTGGGTATCATTTCTATGATTGATATTTTTGGGATCGCATATGTAATGTTGAGCAAAAATGCAGTATATGTTGCATTTTTTAGGGTTATAACAATCACCTTGAAAGTTGTTCTGTCTATTTTTTCCCTTCGATCTCTGAGAGTTTTTATTTTCATTAGTTACAGTACAAGGTGATCGCGAATGTTGTGTGACCTTTTAGGTATCATTCCTGTGATTTTTTTCTCTTCGCAGGAGTTTAATCCGTCGAGAAGCTGCCAAGTGTTTACCGGGGACGATGATTCCGAGAATAGTGAGCGGAGGGGCTTGGTGTCCAGTAAGGTGTGAATTTCGTTTTAACATTAGACCACGTCGAGATTATCGCACATTCTTGTACTATACCTCGTGCATTGTTGCCGCCAATCTCCTTCGTAGATGTGTATCATTTCGCTTTGTTGATACTTATCATTCGGTTTTACGGCGTATCTTCAGAGAGGGTTCGTAGCGCGTGGAACTAATGAGCTTGGTTTTCCTTCGAAGGAGTTCGACGAGTCGTTGAGTCCACGCAGCGACTGGGGCAGGTATAAAATTCTTGGATCCGCGTCGCGGAAGCTGCGGTCTCCGTTAAGCTGGGTAAAATCCGAACCTTGCTCAAGCGGTATTTTAGGTTATCTTCTCCGCCGTTAATTTATTTTACTGTATTTCTGTTCGTTTGGCTTTTCCTGCTGGTTTTCACTCGGGCACCCGCGCAGTGATGCCGAAAATTTCAAAATTTTGCGCAATTCTTGGATTAGAAGTTTTCAATGAGGTCAAGTGGTGGTCAGATCTGGAAGGGATATCTAGTTCAGAAGTTATGCTTTTGTAAAAATATATACAGTATCACTGTTTCAACATTAAGGGCTTAAATTGATGAGAAAAAATGTGCGGATTTTGGCCACAGTTTTGGTGAAAGGGTGCATTCTCTGAGGCTAATATCCGCGGGGGCCAGGCTGGAAAAGCGTGATTGTACTGGTCGCATTGAAAAAATTCACTGTTTATTTTTGTGATGGTTTTCAGGGTTTCTTTATTTGTCCTTTATTTTTTCGTAGTCTTCGTCACGTGGTGGTTGTTTTTGGAATGATAACTACGAGCAAGCATGTACTTCGTGGTTTCGGGTTGCCGGTTGTGTTCCATTCATCGTGCCTAAGTTTTTATTTTTGGTTCTCTTTTTCGACAGGAGTCAAGTCGGAGAGGAGCCGAGGCGATCAGCTTTTCTGCGGCCTTGAAAATTCCAGTGAGTTGAAAACGAAAATTGAGAAATGCTCATGGTGCAATTTAATATTTTTGTTCCTGTTCAGGGAGTTGTTGAATTCTCCATCAGCTTGTTTTTTTCCAAGCTTGTGAGCTACACGTTTCTATACTGGTTGCCTCCGTTCATCAAACAGAACAGTGAGTCCAGACTTCCGTTTCTCTTTCTGCAACGAAATTCAAGGGACCAGACATTTAAAAAAATTCCGCTGTAAATAACCTCTATAACTTGGGAAATTAACTGTATGGGAACAAAAATCGTTCTAGAGAGAGTCCACGTGCGTATACAATTATGCATTTTTAAAATTTTTTTACGTGCGCCGATTTTCTGTCATTTCTGTTACACGGCGTGCTGAAGCATCCCGCTCTTCATATTAGTGTTACAGTTCTATCGTTGATGACTTGAAAAGTTATTTTTAATTGTTTTATCTGATTTTTTAACCTGCAGCACCCTTTGGAAATGCTGAAGCAGCCTATTTGAGCACGTTATTCGATTTTGGCGGCATTGTTGGAGGCGTTTTTGCGGGATTCGTTAGCGATCATTCGAGCATGAGTGCAGCAACATGCGGTGTTATGCTGATTGCTGCTGTTCCTGTTGTGAGTTCTATGATTCTTCTTCTGGCTGTGTAAACTTGGGATTTTTCGAGGTCCATTATGAAGAAAGCTATGATCATTTAATGCTGACAGAATTCCTTTTTTGATCAATTCCGAATTTTTGACAGATGTTCGCCTACCTGAAAACTTCCGTAGCTAACACCTCCTTAGCATCCAGCATAGCCTTGCTCTCGTTGATGGGCTTCCTGGTGAACGGTCCGTATGCCTTGATCACGACGTCGGTGTCTGCTGACTTGGGGGTTCATCCTTCCCTTGCTGGGAACGCGAAGGCGAAGGCTACTGTTGCCGCGATTATTGATGGCACTGGCTCTATTGGTCTGTATAGAATAATCATCCCCGATTTTCGTTGAACTTTCTTTTTTTTTCCTTCATGTCTAGGTGCCGCGGTTGGGCCGTTATTGACGGGATTCTTGGCACAAGGCAACGCAGGCAGTTGGAACGATGTATTTTATCTTTTGATGATTTCTGAAGCTGTCAGTTGCCTGGTACGTCGAGACTTCTTCAGTATCAATCTTAGATAACGTGCTCAACATGGTTGTTCTTCACATCACCTAGTTTCTTACTCCGTTTCTTTCTTTGCCTTCGCACTAGTTTCGCCTTAATTCCATTGCGGTACTTTATATTCAGTCGAAGTTGGTTAGACAAAGTTTGCTTAGATTTTTCAAGATGAATTAATGATTTTATTTCGAGACAATACCGTACATTGAAATGTCGTTGCAACAAATCTCGCTATAACGATTAATCGATTACAACGAAGTACAGTACAGTAGTTTTTTAAGGTCATTGATCAATAGTCACGAAGTCAAATGAGTTACTTCATGAAAACATTTTCGTTTCAACTAAAATATTCCACTGGTCCCAATGGCTTCGTTTTAACAAGGTTTAACTGTGTATGAGAAGTAGGTTGTGCATTTTTCGATTACTTACGGTAAGACGAGTGATCCGGGTGACACCTGCTTTGCAATCCAGAAACCAAGGTTGGGACTTCTGAGTGAAAAGAAGTGAAGAACCCAGAACAGTAGTGTTTTATAAAATACCTGTTTATCTCTCGATGTTTTTACAGTTCCTTGTTCGGTTGGTGCGAGACGAGTGGAAAAAGTGGCGCGAGAGGCGGTACGTGAGAAGAGCTTGAAGTGCTGTCCTTTTTTCTCCTCGAGATTTCGAAGATTGTATTGACGTTCGAGCTTTGCACTCATTCCCCCCTAAAATATGTTTTCATGTTCATGCTTGCTGTTTAAGAATGGGCTGTCTGATGGAAATGAGTGAAATCAAGCATCTGCACGAAACTGTTCTGGAGTGAGCGGTGAAATCTGCTGGGGGAAACTCAGAAAATATCCCAGCTTCCATTTCCCAAGATTTTTTTTTTTCAATCGTTGAACGAAGGCACATAGACGGGGGTTTTCTTTTTCACAGAAAGGGGGTTGCATAAGTTTGCGTGTTGTGGATTTATTTTTATTTGTTGGTTTGTTTGTTCGTTGTGCGTGCCGTCCATTTCTTAATTTATGGGTTGTTGGAAGCAGCGGAACCGATGGTTTTATTTTTACTATTGTGCCGTAATGCCGGTCACGTGACGCAAAGAAGCTGATTCGGTAAACGTGATACTCTCGAACTCCCCGAAGTTCGGTCTCCATTGGTTGTCTCAAACATATTTTTTTGCGATGAGAGCTACTGTATATGATCAATCTGATTTATAATTTTCAAGTGTCGACGGATCCCGTGACATGGAGGCATTCGAGTTTCTTAAGAACCTTACTGTATTTCTGGGTTTTACTTATCAAATGATGTGCTGCCTAAATGCTCGGTGAAATTCCACATATGCGTAAAGTATCAATTCGAAACCGGGGGAAGAAACTGCTTCTGTGATAGTCCCATGTGCCTGAGCATATTTTAGCGTCTTCGATTTGCGAAAATTTGAAATTTACTGTATACTCTTAGGTTTATGTTACACCGCGTGAAAACACGAAGAAATGTGTGCTAGTTGTTCGTCAATTCCGTTAGGTCACCGTTTATTTATTTTTTATTTTTTCCTCACCTGTGGGGTTTGATGCGAGGGTGGAAATATTCTGAGCATTCCCACGTTGCCAAACTTCGGGAGGAAATTGTGTGGGACTTCGTTTGGCTTGAATATATTTTGGTGGAATGTGATTTTTTTTACCCACTCCGGCATTGTCCGTCCAGTGATGCACGCGTGTGTTGCAGAGCGGTGACGGTATTAAAAAACTTTTTTTGCCAAGAAATTCTCTTGAATATTTTTTTTCATAACTTCGACCTGAACCTGAAAACGCTGATAAGGTAAGTGGCTATACTGCAAGAGTTTCTCAGTTCCCAGTTATTGTACTGTATTTTTTGAAGTACCTCAATTTTCGCATTCATTTCTTTCCTCGAGAAATTTAGGATGTGGGTAATTTTTATATTGTACAGTACTAGTTTTTCTGTTCATTATTTAAAACCTCGTTAGTCGTTACAGGATATTCATACAAATATACACTCGAGTCGACTTATATCCTGAAATATTTGTATGGTTTCCTATCAAAACAACTGAGCGTCTGGCTTAATTTGGTCTGGTTCAATCCAGCCGATTATCCATGTGGGTAGACGTCATTTGTAGTTTAAAAAATTTTGAATTATATACAGTAAATCAATTTAAATGTGTGAAAAAATAATTTGGAAGGTAAGGTTTGATTTTCTGGATTCACAAAATACATGATGACGCAACAAAATTCAGGGAACCAGAAACGAAATTCTTCGCAGAGATTGTATAGAGATCATTTCATTGTAGAGATGAAAGAGCCTGTATGGGAACAAACAATTATTGCACCAAGACTTACTGTTAAAAAAAAATTGTTGTTTAGAGAGAGTCCAGCCTGTAAATAGGATTATAGGGTCAAGGTAAGTACTTTACTCTTCACTATAATATATTGACCTTATATTAGCTTCAGCCAGTTCAAATGCTATGTATGGAGGTGGACTCCACAAAATAATTGAGGGAACACGGAAAAAAAGTTGTGGAGAAAATTGTGTTTTAGAGAACTTCAAAATAATATGGATAGACACATATTGGACCAAAAACAATTTTATGCAGAGACATTAATTGAGGCAAAATTGTTGTAGAGAGTCTTGTTCGTCAATGTTATCTTCTCCGAATTGATTGCTGCAATTTATCATCACACACAGTATTTGGTATTTCAATCAGGGTTTACCCGTAGTTGATGAGTTTAAACGATTTTTAAAAGGCCTTGCATGCATTTATGCAAAATACAGGAGTTGAATAAGAGGAATAAACGTGTTAATTTTGTGGAACTGCAGTATGGCATATTATCCGCTTATTTTTAGCAAAAGCAATTGTCCTTCTTCTCTTCACAGGAGAATCTCGTTACAACGAATTCTTGCTTACAAATATTTTTTTCATGGTGGATTTTAAGCCTGTGACTTGGAAAGAAGCAACATTTTCGGCAAATATATTGATCTCAGCATCATCCAGCAGTCTGTCATATCGTTTCCGTTGGTAATTATAATCGCTTATTCAGGACGAAGGCGAGAAAAATCTGAAAATTGGACAGCGCATCTTGCACTCCGTTGGCCAGCTGCTGCAGACCCGGTATGGAATACCATTACAAATCGACACAGTTTTACAATCTGTAATCGCCTCGATATTGCCTCCATGGCTCCAAAGTTAATCACAGTCGTCGACGGTGCAACGATTTCCCCTCAGGCGAAATGCGTGTGCTTCGCTCAGTGACATGCATCTATATACGCCCCAGCTGACGTATCAGATCAGGGGAGAGAAAGTGTGCAAATCGTGTATTTCTTTGCCATATTTTCTGCTGGGGGGTTTCCCTTTTTGAAAAAAAAAACGGTGCAGAATAAAAAAAAATGCACCTTGTATATTTCACGTTCATATTTCCGGTGAATGGAATTTTTGCTTTAAGAATAAATAAAGGACTCCAAATGCGCATAGCCGCACGATTACAAAGGTTGTCCCAGTTCCGCATGGAAACAAATACTTATGAAGTTGGTAAAAATGTAAAAAAAAAAAAGAAGTTCAGTAAATTACTGTAATCGTGATGCTTCTTGTATTCTTGTAATTTTTCAGAATTTAAGACATTTTTGGCACACGACTGCGCGATGGGAAGTGAAAACTTCTGACTTACAGTCAGAGGTTCCCACTTATTTCACAATGCTCTGAAAATGTTTCAGTTTATAATTTGACATTATTTTTCTTATTTTGAATAAGCTGTGCTGTATATCTTCCTTAATTTTTTCAAAATCTTTAATGATTATAATTTTACTATGAAAATACAAAAATAGTAGGCTTGGCAAGGGGTTGATTTCCAATTACTATACTCTTAAACTCCCTCTATACCGATTTTCTCTTTATAAAAAATTTTAAATCCCCATATTACAGGGAATTAAGAGTTCTCAACCAATCCCATTGGGTTTTCTACAATGAAATTCTCTATGCCACGATTTTTTTCTGCTGGTCCCCCGAAATTTGTTGAAAAGAGGCTCCACTTGTACTGTATCTTATTTATCTCTCCAAAACATATGTGAAAATATTTTTTTATTTTTGTAAAATTGTTTTTATTCGGCTGAAGTTTTGTAAAACTTCTGTGATTTTCATTTTTTAATAGGCAAGGTGAGATCTTATCTAAAAAATAGTTGTTTTGTGAAAATGTTGTTTCTGGGATTCAGAATTTCATTTCTCTTGAGATTTTAAGTTGCGAGTCCGTTTTCAAATTACATTAGCAAAAGAAAATGTTTGCAAATAGATTCCCTTCAGTTCAGCACGCAAAGTATAAATCATTTAGTTTTGTCACCTTCGTTCAAAACTAAGAGAATCCGCCCCTCTTCGTCCATTTAGTTTGAATATTAATGAATTAAACATTTTTTTAATAGAGTAGTTTGTCGTCTTCGCAAACAATCCCTTCATATCCTTGCACTGTACATAGATCTGAGAAATACAGGGATTTAAAAAAATGATTGTAGAAAATCACTGCAGTTAGAATTGCTAGAATGAATAATGTACTGTATTTAATGTGCTGCTTCGTCCCTTACCAAATAAATTATAAAGCAAGGGATATGCAATGAATTACTCCAAAACGGGAAATGCAGGTACAGCACAGTATATAAATGATAACCGCGAACAAGTGTTCTTCAAAAAGCGAATCCAATTTATACATTTGAGAAATTCAGCAATCAATATACTGAACTGATTTATTGAGGGCTTGAAAAATGAAAAACATTTGCCCTATTCTCCAAGAAAAGTTTACTCTTTTCTTGTTTTTGGACACTCCTCGTTTCGGCACCGTAATAATCACAATATCAAATTGCTGTGTGTCAAAATAATAAAAAAAAATGTGTTGAAATATCGTTTTTTGGATCCATATATGGCAGGTTGGACATCATACCCACCAATAAGCGAAGGAAAACAGGAGGACTCAACTTTGAAAGTTCCTTGCCGGCGGGTCGGGCGATTTCCGGTGTGATGAGTGAAGTGCTTCCAGCAGTTCCGAACAGAGCAGTAAGCACAAAAGCAGGAAAAGCCAAAAAATAAATAAATGAAAAGGAAATGGGGGGTGGGGAAATGTTTCCGCCTCTTTCCCTAAAGAGAACTTGAAGCGGCACGTCCGGAAAAGTTTCAGTCGCGGCTCTGGTCTCGGCGCGGAAGAGAACTCATCCGTGCACATATGCGCGCAGTGCTGATTATTTTTGACATTTGTATTTTTATCTTTTTGTTGTTGGTGAACCGTATGTACAGTATTGCCAATTTTACACGTGCTGAGGGCGAATTATTATTTCTTTCAGTCGTATCTGCTTGTTTATTGGAATGCGTTTTGTGCCAAAACCGCTGTGTGAAAATTGAAGCAGCGTTTAGCCATGGATCCGAAGGTGAGTTTGATGCATCATCTTTTTTTTTCTGAGTAACAGATTGCTGGTTTAAAGTTTCCGAAATTCCAGTAGTAGCGATCGTAATCGCATTGTGAAACGATCTTCTCATTCAAATGAATAAATAATCATCATTTTGAAGATTCATTATTGAAGCATCGGAAAAAAATTTTCATTAAATCTGCAGGAAAATCTGCGCAGTCCGTCTTGAAAGTGCACATGGATGGCAACACTTCAGAAAAGACTAAGAATTATGTTCAGGATGGTTTTTCGAAGCAATACAAAAGTGCTGCATGCGTATAATTATCGACGGACTCTCATATCTTTTTGAAGACGTGTCCGCATAAAATATTTACCTTATATAGCCAATATTATTTTGATGACTGTGAAATACGCTTTATAAATTCATAAGCAGCTCACCTCAAACAGAAATATTCGAAAAGCAAACTATTTTTTAGGAAAACGTTGTTTCTTTGAGGTTGGTTATTGTGAAGAACTCTCACGTAACAAGAAAAGGCAGATTTATGAATCAGACAAATGATTAAAGCAATTGAATTAAAACTTGCACTCAGTTCCTTTGACAAATGATTAAAATCAAGTATCCATCGGCTCTCAACTTTTTCCAAGCTCAGTTATTCGAGAAAAAAAAATAACTCAGCGATCTCATGATTTCCGACTTAGTAGGTGTAAGATCGGAAAGGTTCGGGGTTTTTCGATGACGAGACTAGAAACCATGGACATGATTTGATCATTTAAATTATTAGTTTTGATAAAGCTGATCAGAAATTCCTTGCGCACTCAGTTCCTTAAAAATCTGCCAAGTCTATGGGTTTTTGGAGGAATTGACCCATAAAGGTTTTTTTTGTCTTCTTTCTACGAACAAATCTTCGAGAGTATTACGAACAAAATGCGAGCTGTTCTCTTATCGTGAGACCACCTGTGCGACAGATGGAATTTTCAAAAAGTGTGCAAGTGTAATGGAGAATCCAAACTCAAAGTAGTCCGCTCATGCATAAAAGTGTAGTTACGAAAAAAGTAAAACAGGGTCGGTTATACATTCCTGATGAGGTCGTCGTGTGGTAATTTTTTTGATGATGTTAGAGCGATAGTTTGCCACTGACTCTTTTTTTCAACTCGAAGAAGTAAATCAAAAGAAAATATGGAATACACTTTTTTTTTGGTTTCCCAAATGATCTCGAAATTTTCCCCCAAATGAATTTCAGCGACTTCTTTGGGTCTTTTTGCTCTTGTGCTGTTTCATTGTGGAAATCTACGCATACGCCAGTCCGAATCCTGATGCTAACCCGGCTCCTGTACCCTGGAAGTGAGTGAAAAACCATTCAACCCCCCC